TGTGTGTGTGTGTGTGTATGATTGCATGTGTGGTTTGTGTGTGTGTGTGTGTGGGAGGTTGGCGGTTTGCGTGTCTGTTTTCATTTTTAGTTTGTGTGTGTGTATGTTTATGTGGACGCATGTATGATATTTGTTCATGCATCGACAGCCTTGTATGTGCAAATGTTTAGCCTGCTCTTAGTGCAGCAGAACAAGACCCTGTTCTTGAGATGTTTCTTCTTCTTCTGCCTTTCTATCCCCCAATGGAGCATAGGCCCTCAACCAACTCACGCCAAGTCGTTCTATCCTTCGCCATTGCATGGAGCTCTCCCCATGTCCTTCCCATCTTTCTAACTTCATTCTCCAGCTGTCCTCTCCATGTGTTTTTTGGCCTTCCTTTATTCCTATGCCCCTGTGGGTTCCAATGCAAAGACATTCTAGTTATGCTGTTCTCCTGTTTTCTCAGTGTGTGTCCTATCCAACGCGAGCATCTTTTCCTCACCTCTTGGTCCACTGGAGCCTGTTTTGTTCTCTCCCAAAGCTTTACATCAGTTATTCTATTAAACCATTTAATTCCCTCTATTTTGCGTTTGCCTGATATTAAATGTAAGCATCTAAATAGCAGAAGACCTACCTTGCAGCCAGCATCTTCTGATCATGTACAGCGTCAGGCTGCTCCAGATGGGCACGCTTTAACACCCTAGTACACAGAAACATGAAAACAGCAGTTAATAGTTAGACTTCCGGCCAAAATGGCCGGTAGCTGACATATATAGATCATTTGGTTTCCAGCTTAATGGATGGTGCAAATGGTCAAGTCCATAGTATTCCAGCATCAGTTATTGTGGTGGAGTGCTTGATGAAATGATATGGTCAACATATATAGATCAGTCGGCACAAAAATGATGGGGTGGCTGATATGGTTCAGAATTAAATCAGTCGTGCACTTTTCGTGATGCCCATGATATGGAGCTGCAACATATATGTGGGACTCAGTCGGCACTTGATGGATGATATGGTCAACATATATAGATCAGTCAGCACTTGATGGATGATATGGTCAACATATATAGATCAGTCAACACTTGATGGATGATATGGTCAACATATATAGATCAGTCAACACTTGATGGATGGTATGGTCAACATATATAGATCAGTCAACACTTGATGGATGGTATGGTCAACATGGTCAGTCACACTATATGGATCAGTCAACACTTATAGATGTCAGCACTATGGTGGATATTTTAGTCAACATCACACTAGTCACCTTTACTTTCCATGACATACTTTGGTACCCATTTTAGGCTGAATCGAATTTGGAGGCCAGGTCCATTTATGCCATGATGAGACTGTAAACTCTCGATCTTTGTGCCAGTAGGCGGAGCGACTAATTAGGTGTTTACTGAAATTGGTTGCTGGGCTAAAAGCTAAATATCACAGCTTAGCTGTAAACCCCAAAACAAACATGACAAACTTTTTAAAAAAAAGTATCAAACAACGCACCATGAATGCCTGGATGTTACTCATGTGCAACAGTCAACATATTATGTAAGTTTGTACATCATATAATTTGTTCGGACACACTCAAACACTTCAGCAACACATCAGTCTCCTTGAGATTGTCTGTGTAACTGCTGATCTGTTTGTAACTGCTGCTTCCGTCGAAGATGAACTGCATTTCTAATGTCGGACTGTTTGTGTTAGCACCTCTGATGGCTGCTTGATGCTTTTAATGCATGTGTTTGCTGGTGGACTAGCTGAGACTGCAGTCTGTTTCAGTGTTTCCAAAAGGGAGAGTGATGGACATTCTGTGTGTTTTCCCTGGCGTAGAAGCTGACATTAAGATTACCTATCCTACAAGGATTATGTATTTAGGCTGTCGATGTAGTATGTCTATGACTTTGCTGCTTTCATTATTACCCAAATCAGGCATTAGCAATGACCTTCTCGTACTGAAGAAAATTTAAGGGCAAACGAAGCAGAAGTTATTTTTTTTTCAGAGCTTAAATGGCTTGAATGCTAATGTTCTGGATATGAGTGTTAAAATTTGGTGAACCCACCTAGCCTGTAAGTCTCTGGCACGCTGGAGTGTACCTTGTGCCTCATCCTGCCTCTCTGTTTGATTGTACACTTTTGCCAGGAGCATGAGGTAGCGTGTGTGCTCCATTAGAGTGTCCAAATCTACACACACAGAGAAGTTAAAGATTCAACCATTCAACAACCTCAAGGTATCTCAAGATGAACAGGTAAACTTAAAGAAAAATATATTATCTTCTTCTTCTTCTTTCCATTTACTGGCTGTGAACTCTGGCAGAAAGTCCTGGTTGTTCATCCCCTTCTGGACTTTGGTCTTGTTCCAGGATTTGAGTTTTTCTTGCACATCAGTTTCACAGATCTGTCTTATTTCTTCTTCTTCTTCTTCACGTTCACCAGCTGTACACTCTAGCGTAAAGTTCTGGTTGTTCATCCACTTCTGGACTGCAGTCATGCTCCAGAACCTGGGTGTTGCGTGTGCATCAGTTTTACAGATCTGATTCAATTGAATGCAGACTGCTGGTTCCTTGCCTCTTAGGCAGATGCACTCCGACTTCAAAGGAAGCTCCCCAGTTAGTCGACTCTTACGACATGCTTTTGGGGAGGCAGTGGGTCTATTCTTGTTTTCCCCACAATAGGGCCCCGAAACCCACACGGGGGACTGTCTTATTTGTATGCTGACTGTTAGTTCCCCACCTCTCAGGCAGATGCACTGCCACTTTGAAAGAAGCACTGCCACTTTGAAAGAAGCACTCCCTACTCAGTCGACTTTTATGACATGCTTGTTTGAAGGGGGGGAGGGGGGGGGGAAGTGGGTTTATTCCTTTTTGGCCCATAATGGGGCCCACGGGGGAAAGTAAAGTATAAAATTACATCAAAGTGTAAATGCTTACAGGCATGCGGACACCGTTAAAACATTGGGGAGGGGGAGGGGGGGCCTGAGGGTCCCCAGCATGACCAATGTTCTAGGTAAATGGGGGAAGGGGGGGGGGGAACTCAAGGGATCTAATCCTAGTTCACAAGAGTTAAACAAAATAATACAATGTGACTGGTAAATAAATATGATAAAACATTTGAAATAATATTAAATATGCAAACAAACACTAAAGAGGTACATGGTTAGAGGGGGCTGTTTATCCTCCTTACAAAATTATAATTGTGTATCAGCTGGTGGGGGCCTCAAGTGGACTGAACTCCCAGAAATAGAATTCAGATTAAACAAACAACCTTCACAACATGAGGCAAACAACTTAACTACTTCACAACTATCATCATATCATCATCATCATCATCGGCTGTCATGTTTCGCCATTTCACACGATCACGAAACAGGTCAGTATTCTTGCTTCACCCCATCCACACGACTAAACCTTCTAGGTACTTATCTCTTTGCCGTCCTCTTGCTCTCTTGCCATCAGTCTTGCCAGTCATTACCAAGTTCTCAAGTTTATTCCTTGTTATAATATGTCAGAAAAACACTGACTGTCTGCACCTAATTTTTTGTCCCCGTCCACTTACATCTCTCTGTCTTGAGAAGGACTGCCTCATTTGTCTTACTTTAATTCCAAGATATTCTTTGAATTCTTCATAAAAAAACCACATCTCCGCTGCAAGTAAATATTTTTCAGCTTTATGCTTATTATTTGTGTCTCGTATGCACATAACAGCAGCGGTTTGACACTGCAGTTTAACCCAGTCACCTCAGTGACCTACAGGAACAAAATGCTAAAGAATAATAGTTAATTTTGCTTTTTCCTCAAAAAATATTCCTTTAATAAAATTTACACAGGTGTCACACACACACACACAACACACACAAATCATAATAATTCTATTTATTTTTATATACTGAAGTGAATCATGGGCAGCTGGTGAATAGGTGAAAACTTATTTGGAAGCTGCCGAGATGTGGATTTACAGACAAATGGTGAAGAATACTCTAGACAGTTAAAAATAATAATGAAGATGTCTTGAAAGAAACTGACTCATGAAGAGAACTGATTGCCCACACTAGAAGGAGACAATCTACATTCTTTGGTCATGTGATGAGATGGAAAAAAACTGGAGTACATCGTGACAGTTGGAGGGGAGGAGAGGCAGAAAGAGACCGAGAGAAAAGATGCTGGACAGTCTGACATCATGGCATGGAGGATCATCTGTGTCAGAGTTGACTGAAATTACATGAGAAAGACGGTTGTGGATGACATGACTACCAATGCCACACGGCATGGAGTTTTAGAATAAAATATCTATGAGTTTAAACAAAAATGTTCAGCATGACCTGTTCTTGATCTCGCCACCAGCAACCACTGTAACTAAATTTTGCTGTCCTAATTTCTATAAATAAGGGAGTCGGAGTGGCGTAGCGACTAAATGCTCGTGTGCGGATCGGAAGGTCGTGGATTCGCTCCCTGGCGGAGCTGAACTTTTTTCAAAAATGACCTTGACTCCCAAGTCAACCCAGCCTTGAGTGGGTACCGGGTGCAGTCCCAGGAAGTAAAGGTGGTCGGCGTGATGCTGACCACATCACCCATCTTGTGCCGATTGGTCTATAAAATATAGGTCTAGCCCTATACGCCTAAATGCGTGAAAAAGGGACTCTTTCTAATTTTTTTATTTCATTAAATGAAGCCATTTGCTACAAGGAAACTTTACCTCAATACTATTTTTAGCAACTGTGCTTGTTACCGGTCATTCTAAAAAGTTGCCTAGGAAAAAAACGGAAACAGTGCTGTAAGAAGAGCTCCTCATAAACAGCAAGCTGGGCAACAGGAAAAGGACATTGACGCTGGGGCTGTGGGCAGGTTTTTGTGCTTCTAGGGCTGAGAGGGTCATCACTCTTTTTACTCACTGCCACCGATACCTTTTTATTTCTGAGTAGAATCCCCCAAAGAAGAGAGGAGAATGACGATGGCTGAATTCCACTGACACAAAAAAATTAACAAAAGAGGCTGGCCTGACTTGAAAAGCCACACTCCTACCTTGTCCGCCCTGCTCAAGAGCTTGTTTCAGAACTTTTTCTGCCTTCTCAAACTGCCTTAATCTGAGCAGCAGCTCTGCCAGGTCATATCTGAGAATGATCAAGACACAAATAAAACAAAGCTAGAATTTTATATTTGTTTTTAACTCCTCCTGAATTCTTCAGTTTTCTCTTTTTTATGACCTCTTGCTCTCTCATTTATGTCCTCTTGCTCTCTCATTTATGACCTCTAGCTCTCCATTTATGTCATCTAGCTCTCACGTATGCCTGTCAGCTCTCATTTATGCTCTCTAGCTCTCTCCTTTATGCCCTCTGGCTCTCTCTCATTTACATCCTCTAGCTCTCTCATTTATGCCTTCTAGCTCTCTCATGTAAATCCTCTATCTCTCACATTTATGCCTTCTAGCTCTCTCATGTAAATCCTCTATCTCTCACATTTATGCCTTCTAGCTCTCTCATTTAAGCACTCTAGCTCTCTTAATGTTTTTTTTAGATATTCCATTAATCTCTTCAGGATCTCTCATTAATGTTCTCTGGCTCTCTCCCCTATATTCCCCAGCTCTTCCATTTGTCACCTAGTTCTCTTAATAATGTCCGCTAATTATCTCATTAAAACCCACTAGTTCTTTTGTTAGTGTCCTCTATTTCTCTCATTAATGCCCTACTTAATATTCAATAGCACTATTAATGCCTTCTAATATTCTCATGAAATTTTTAGTCATTCAATTAGTGTTGTCTGTCATAAGTTTTTATTTATTAAATACCAATAGAATCTCTTGTTCTGTTTATAAAACATCTCTGCTGGTGAGGGTATCAAACTCATCTCAGTCACAGCAGCAAGTGAGACTGCTATAGCACCACTGCTGGAGTATGCCACCCCTCTGCCATTACACCACCGAATAAGTCTACCAAGACAAGCACAGTTGGTTACTACCCCACTGTTGGAATCTGCCACCATACCACTGTTGGAATCTGTTACCATACCACTGTTGGAACCTGCTACCATACCACTGTTGGAACCTGCTACCATACCACTGTTGGAATCTGCTACCATACCACTGTTGGAATCTGCTACCATACCACTGTTGGAATCTGCTACCATACCACTGTTGGAATCTGCTACCATACCACTGTTGGAATCTGCTACCATACCACTGTTGGAATCAGCTACCATAACACTACTGGAACCTGCTACCATACAACTACTGGAACCTGCTACCATAACACTACTGGAACCTGCTACCATACAACTACTGGAACCTGCTACCATACCAATAATGGAACCTGCTACCATAACACTACTGGAACCTGCTACCATAACACTAATGGAGCCTGCTACTATAACACCACTGGAACCTGCTACTATAACACTACTGGAACCTGCTTCCATAACACCACTGGAACCTGCTACCATACAACTACTGGAACCTGCTACCATACAACTACTGGAACCTGCTACCATACCAATAATGGAACCTGCTACCATAACACTACTGGAACCTGCTACCATAACACTAATGGAGCCTCCTACTATAACACCACTGGAACCTGCTACTATAACACTACTGGAACCTGCTTCCATAACACTACTTGAACCTGCTACCATACCACTACTGGAACCTGCTACCATACCACTAAAGGAACCTGCTACTACAACACTACTGGAACCTGCTACGATACCACTGTTGGAACCTGCTTCTTTACCACTTTTGGAACCTGCTACCATTCCACTGTTGGAATCTGCTACCATTCCACTGTTGGAATCTGCTACCATACCACTGTTGGAATCAACTACCATACCACTGTTGGAATCTGCCACTATGCCATAGTTGGAATCTGCCACCATAACACTACTGGAACCTGCCACCATACCACTACTGGAATCAGCTACCAACCACTACTGGAACCTGCTACCATTCCACTGTTGGAATCTTCTACTAAACCACTAGATAAATCTGCTACTACAAACAAAATATGCATACAATAAAAACATACTAGTAACAACCCACCTCAGTGACACTTGACCTCCAGCCTTCAGAGATGCTTCATAGTAATTAATGGCCTGAAATTACGAATGTTTTCATAAATATAACCTAAACAACACGTGTTTGTTAGCAAATCTTAAGTAGGAGAAACATTATTCTGAAACCAAAAAAACTATTATTGTATTTCATTATTACTTTAAAAATAAAAATTAATGCAGCCATTCCAACATCTTGGTAATGATTTTAATGTGTGTTTTATGATATTGCAGTTCTTCACTCTAGAGTCAACATTAACTGTTTTCATATAAGCTGGTAACAAGTAACAGTTAACAGTGAAAGTAATCAAAGTAAAAATGTATCACTCACAAAACATTCGACTAGAAAGTGTAAGGGGAAAAACGTGCATAGAAACAAAGGTATGATTCCATCAAAAAACTATCAATGAACACTGCAACCACATAAGGAAGGCCTCAGGTGAAACATTCGTTTGTTTTTGTTCATGTTTCACCTCCCTCTACCTTTAAACTTCCTGGTCACATTCACTCATTGTTCTGCTGTGTCATTATAAGTCGCACACGGCTCGCAATCCGTTTCTATATTCTGTTCTCTCCTGTGCAATCACTTCTATACAATGGATGGAATCCAATCCGGCAGTTTTGGCCTTTCTCATCAACATTCACTTTAGGGTTTCTCTTATTTTCTTAACCCCTCAATCTCCCATTTCAGTGCCTGTTTGGTAATTCCCAGAATGCATCCAATGCAACGCCATATTCTCTTTGTGTAAATGTTGACACTAGTGGTTGAGTAGATATTTCTCTCATTTCTTCACGCTTCTTTAATTCGTACCATTTTATGTTTTTATTTGTTTTAGGATACTAGTTCCGACTTCTGTCATCACTATTTTAATCACTTTACAAATGTAACAAACTAGAAACTGACCTTGCCATAATTGTGAGTCTTGACCAACGCCTGGCCAATTTTGGTGGCCAGTGCCGCATCTTTGGGGTTCCTCTTCAGCGCTGCCTCATACACTTCTATAGCTTTTTCAGGCTGTTGAAAATGAGATACTTATCTGTTAAAGTAAAGATTCTAAAAATTTTCATTGCCAGCTGGGAGAAAGGATTGGTGCCTCAAGTTTGTCCCTTGTACAGCTCATTAAGAAGGGAATCTGCCCATTAAGTAAATACTGCACACAAAGTTGTATGGAAGTAAAAGGGAACTCCTAAAACAGTCAAGTTTATCAAAAGAGCTTGTCTGTTAGTGTGAATCAGAAAGCGAACACACAAAGGAGAAGAAAAAGATACTTAATACAGGTATTGCCTTTTTCTACTACTTATTTTAGGATTATAATTTCAAACTTTTGAAAACAATGTTGCGGCTGCAATAAAAAAATGCTTCAGCTCTTTGTTCATCCATTTTTTTGTTTTGTTTTGTTTTAAGAATAGCTGTGCTGTCCCTGTTTCCAGCAGGAGCCGCTGCAATGTAGCAGCTAGATGCTGGATTTCAAAACACACAAAAAATGACCTTGGTTCTCAGGTACACCCAGCCTTAAATGGGTACCAGGTAAAGTCCTGGAAAGTAAAGGTGGCCAGTGTAATGATGCTGACCACATCACTTGCCAAGTGCCAATTGGTCTATAAAATATAGATCTAGCCATTTGTGCCCAATATGCCTATATGGATGGGAAAAAGGTTTTTACCAGTTTACAGCAGAGCTATGATACTTGTACTTTTTGTGTGACACATCTTTCTTTGGGCCTTTGTCCACATCAATGCTAAGAATGTGAGAACCGGGAGTAAAGATCAGCACCGCCAGGCATGAGAGGTACACCAAATGCACAAAAAGTCTGTCAACCTGCACAGGACTGGCAAAAATGATTCTAAGCGCTGATGTATATGTCGAAAATAGAATGTAAGGAAATCCGGACACTCATTACACACACCTTTAAAAGAATAACACACTGACCTCTTGTATACTCATGTAAGCATCGCCTAGCAACAAGCTGGTGTGAGGGCTCGGATACTTTTCCACAAGTTCCCTACAATTGATTAAACAGACAAAAACAATTTTATGTACTGGGGAACGTCTTATACATGGAATGTTGTAATTAAAAAAACATAAATAAATACATACCACTATCCAAACTCTACACCCCCCTTCCCACCCCTAACACTACCTTCCCTCATGACAAACCCTAGTTTGAAACCCCCGCCCCCACTCCTTTTCACCCGGTTTCTTCAGCCATTCCTAAGCTACCCAAGACCCTCCAATATATTTTTTTTTGTCAAATATGTTTTCTTAACTGTGGGCTAAAAAACTGAAAGGGAGGGGGGAAGGGAGGGGGGGGGGGGGGGGAAGCAGTGTCTTATACACAGAAGAATGCAGTACCTGGAAAGCAAAATTTCTGTCATCACCTATCCAGTGACCAGCAGATGGCGCTCTATGAAGACAGAAAAAGATGGCGGGTTTTGTGTGTTAGTGCTTCCATCGATACACATCCACGACCCTAACAGGTCAAGGGTTATGTTATGTGCTACAAATGCGGTTAATTTAAGACTTCCGTGGTAAATTATGAGTGAAACAATGGACTTTGTGATCTGTGTATTTGAAAGGAGCGACTGGCCAAGTGGTTATCACGCTGGGCTCGTATATGGGAGACCCAGGTTCAAATCCTTGGTAAGGTCATGGACATTTTTTCTGGCTGGAACATTAAAAAAAAAAGTTATGATTAGCAAAGTCTGTGCCCAATGCACCAGCCATTAGGCCCTAAATCCTCCAGTTCAAAACCCCCTAGTCCTTCGCCACTTTAAAAAGTAGTAAATGCAGGCAGTATAAATATAAACAAATTTATAACAAAACATAAATAAATATTTAAAAAAGATAAATAAATAAATATAAAACATATATAAATACACACATAACAAAACATAAATAAATGTAAACAAATTTAAACATAAAACAATAATAAATATTTATGAAACATATAAAAAAATATCAAACAATTATAAATTAATATAAAATTATAAATAAATATAAAACAAATATTAAAAACATAAAACAAATAAGGGTCCTTTTCATATATTTGTCGCTTCAGGCATATAGTGCTAAAGTATTTTCTAAACCAACGGGCATTTGACAGTTAATATGGTCAACATCATAGTGGCTGCCTTTATTTCCCAGGACTACCTGGTACTCAGTTTAGGTTGAATCGAACTGGGAGCCAAGAAGATCAGTTATTGAAAAGAATTAGCCTTTTGGATTTGAACCCTGGACAACTCGAGATATGTCAGGCATCTACCTAAAGTGCTGGAGGTCCCAGGTTCAGGCCCCAGTGAAGGCTGGTATTTTATCATGTAGACTTCTAGTAATTTCCCCTGCTCTCTGGGTAGTAAGATCGAACGCCCGTGTGTATTAATGCGCAAGTAACAAATCCCTTGGCAGTTGTAAATTGAAAAGAGTAGCCTAACGGCACTATCTGGGCAATATTTGGAGTTGAAAGTCTACCCAAAGTATGTCAGGATCCTTGTTGTTGCTACAGAGTTCGTGCACAGTGCTGAGATTTTTGGGACTCAGACTTGAGTTAGAAGTAGAATGGAGCACTTATGGGTTACTACCCTTTTGCAGTGATGTTGATCCATAGTTTAAACCTAAACTTAAACAGATATGTCAGGGAATAAATGATTTAATACACTGTGTCCTAACATTTTATTTTTAAAAAGGTTTTTACTAGTTCCGTTGTCAAAATGGCAACAAGAGGCTGTGTTATTTGTTGGGGATAAATAGATTTGGCATTCTTAACCAGCAGTCAACTGGCCAGAAACACAGAATCTCATCGGGGGAGGGGGGGGGGGGGGGGGGGGGGGGGGTAATGTGTCAACCATTTTATGGTGGCGAGGATTTGCCACATATGTTTAACTCAATGGCTGTGGCAATTTTTTTTTTTGGTTATTATTATTTCAACAAGCGACACACACAAAACTCAGGCCAAAGGAAGGACACACTACAACAAACAAGGGAACCTAAAAAAAAATTTTTGAAATTAACAAACAAAACCAATGGAAAGTCGCACTACAACAAATAAGAGACACACAACAAATTTAAAATTAACAAACAAGAAAATAGAAAGACACACTGCAAAACAATCTTGGCATTTTCACCTGTAACAGCTAGCATAGAGCCGCTTGTCTTTGCGATAGTTCAGATATATATTTGCCATCTTTTCCCGGGCCTCGACAAAATAGGCCTGGTCAGGTGTGATGTTTCTAAGCATTCCCAGTGCCATTTCTACATCGCCTCTATCCAGTGACAGGTCAGCATTTGCAATGAGAACGCGAACTTCCTCAGGAGTGCCTTGAAACTCATTGATGGCATCCTGCATCACTTTAGCTGCTTCATGCTACAGAGAGGCAAATAATAAAATCGTAAACTACACAAAACGCATGCTATTGCTGTCACGCTGGAATTTTTCCTAACACACAAGGTCTGCTCGACTAACAGACCTTAAATCAAACTGGTCTTCTCCGTGCGGGTTCCGGGGCCCTATTGTGGGGAAAACGAGAATAGACACACTGCCTACCCAAAAGCATGTCGTAAGAGTCGACTAATTGGGAGCTTCCTTCAAAGTCGGAGTGCATCTGCCCGAGAGGCAAAGAACCAGCAGTCTGCGTACAAATGAGTCAGATCTGTAAAATGGATGCACATGTAACACTCAGGTTCTGGAACATGACTGCAGTCCACAAGTGGCTGAGCAACCAGAACTTTTCGCCAGAGTTTACAGCTGGTGAATGCGAAGAAGAGAAGAAACTGGTCGTCAGTCAAATTTATAATTTTCAGTAATGTCTGCATTCAAACGGATTATAAAAATTTTACAGAAATTCAAAAATGCAATCTATGTATGTATAATTATTGTATATAATGTGAAAATTACATAATATGTATTCTGTTGCACAGTTCTACAACATTTTTTACCCTAATAATGAAGCTAATTTTCTGTATTTATGTTCTTATTTATTTATTTGTTGTGGTCATAAGTGTTGATGGTCGTAAGTTGCACAGATCCTATAAACTGCACAGATTGTAAGTCGAGGAGAAGTCATATTCTTTTATCCCCCCCCCCCCTTCCCCACAGATGGGACCCAGAACTCATACAGGGAAAATAAATGTTTATGCCCTATTGAACCTATATATTTAGATTTTCAGTATATATGTACATTTTATATGGGAACCGTAGTGGTGTAGCTAGCATTTTTGTATTCTTTGAAATGACCTTGGCTCCCATTTTGACCCAGTTTTCAGTGGGTACCAGATCCAAGTCCTGGAAAGTAAAGGCAGCCGGCATGATGCTGACAACATCACCCACCAAGTGCCGACTGCTCTATGAAATATAGGTCTAGCTCTTTGCCCAATATGCCTGAAGGCATGGAAAAGGGTCCCTTACTTTTACATGAACACACACACACACACACACACACTCACACACACACTCAGATATATATATATATATGTACACACACTCTCATAAATAGACGTATATTCTATTTTACATATTATTTATTAATATTTTAAAATATAAAATATATAATAAATTATTATTTGATATATTTATGTATATATATGTATATATATATATATTATATATATATATATATATATATATATATATATATTTATGTATATATATGTATATGATTCTATATACACACACATAATACAAGCACTCTCTTAAATACACCCAAGTATATACTATTTAATGAAATTTTTATTTATATTTTAACATATAAAATGCATACATTTTATATAATAATTTATTAATATATATATATATATATATGTTATTTTATGTATCTGATGTACTCGCATCTCCCCCTCTCCCTCCACCTCTTTGTACTACAAAAATGGAACAAATAGGACAGGCATCTCATCTCTGAAGGCAACAAAGAACTGATTCTCCACAACCTTCGGCAAGTTGGCTCAGTCACTTTCTCTTCTCGACTGTACAGAGTATTACTGTGCTTGGGAGTCCAGCCGGAGTTCACAAGGATGCCCTCCCTGTTGGCCACAGACAGGGACTCAAATCTAGAACCTCAACCAAAGACCTACCTGCTGATTCTGCAGCCGATGAGCCTCTGCCAGCTCCAGATACACAGAAACCCGGTCGCTGGTGCTGATCTGATCAGTCTTGGATGTTTTGCCGGCGTCACTTCTCGCACCTGCAAGAGAAGAAACAGCAGTTCTGCTACTTGAATTTGAAATCAAATGGTGCAGTGGCAGGAAAAGTACCCTAGAGACTGTTTCAGACACAGCTGGACATATAACCTCCACGACTTCCCTGTATGGGTTCCAGGGCCCCATTCTGAGGGACACAAAGAATAGCTCCACCCCCCCCCCCCCCCCCCCACCACACCCCCCACACACACTAAAAATCATATTGCATCAGAGGCAAGAAACTAAAAGTCTACAACAAATAAGGTTAGTTGTGTATCCTTTACAGGACGTTGCAGAACCAACCCTAACAGCCCCTGGCTGTTGTGTGGTTTCTCTAGGCAAATTTATGTCCAGTAGTTTGCCATTGCTTTCTGGACGGTCGGCTTTCTTGATACCACTGTCGAAACCAACACAAGGCGCGTTGCCCGCAGGTGGGATCTAACCCGGCATCCCGGCATTACGAAGCGTTCGCACCGACTTAGCCACAGAGCCGACACAACAAATAAGCTGATCTGTAAAACGGATATGCATGCAAATATCAAGTCCTGGAACAAGACTAATGTCCAGAAGTGAATGAGCAACCAGAACTTTCCTGCCGGAGTTTACAAAGTTATACAGGGCTGATGTTCAGAAAGCAATGGCAAACTAGTGCATTTAAAATTTAGTTAGTAAAACTACAAACAGCCAACAAACACTTGTATATGAAACTATTCTTTTTGACATTACACTGTGAAGTATTGTATTATGTTGTAATGTAACTGTATTGTACTGTACTGAAGATAGCAGGGTAATGCTAAGGCAGATCCAGATGACAGTGGTGGTAATACTAAAGCAGATCCAGATGACAGTTGTGGTAATGACAGGGCAGATCCAGATGATAGTGGTGGTAATATTATTGTGGACCCAGATGATAGTTGTAGTAATGCTAACACGGATCCAGACAACAGTGGTGGTAATGCTAACACAGATACAGATGACAGTGTGGTAATGCTAACACAGATACAGATGACAGTGTGGTAATGCTAACACAGATACAGATGACAGTGTGGTAATGCTAACACAGATACAGATGACAGTGTGGTAATGCTAACACAGCTCCAGATAAAGTGCTGGTAATGCTAACATGGATCCAGACAACAGTGGTGGTAATACTGACACAGCTCCAGTTAATAGTAGAGGTAATGCTAACATGGCCTTGGATGAAAGTGGTGGGACTGTACAAAAACCTCAAGCAGACAAGGTTCTGACCAAGCTTACTCACCACTTTTTGAGACACCTGGCAGAGCCATCGCCATCTGCAGAGTTTTCACTGCTTCTGCTGTCTGCCCTTGCTTCTTCAGGATTCGAGCCAGGATAAGATGGTACAACGGATGGTCGCGTACCTTGTTGAAAGAAACAAAACTGTTTTCTCAAATCTTCATTGCTTCATATCAGATGTATAATAAAACAAACAGACAGTGTATTGATTGGCACTCATAGAAAGAAGCAGAAAGATAGTATGACACACTAGACAACATAACAATCGAAAGCTATGGTTACTGTACTGGGAATCAAACCTGTCACCTCAAAAAGGTGTGTGCGCCTCTCTATGGAAACAAGTGTACTAAGAACATGTTTTTTTATGTGAATTGTTTCACATCCCTGTGCACATTCTGAGGCTCCACTGAAGGTGGGGGGGGGGGGGGGGGTATAACAGATCCATTGTCCCCCTTAACTCTTTTACAATCAAAAGGTTTCACAAGAGATGCCAAAGTGAAGAGGTAACTACGATTAAAAAGGGTTAATGCATCTGCAATGCACTTGTTTTGGGGCTCACCGCATACAGACATCTCTTGATAAGTTAGTTGTGTATCCTTTACAGGACATTGCTGAACCAACTGTGGCATTTTTGGCTGCTATGGTTTTTTTAAGGCAAATTTTACGTTCAGTAGTTGGCCACTGCTTCTGAATGGTCAGCTCTTGGTAACACTGTTACAACCAACGCAAGGCTAATTGTCCGCAGCTGGGATCGAACCTGGCACCCTGGCATTACAAAGCGGGTTCGCAACGCCCAAGCCACAGATGCCTTCTCTAGATACATTGACAAATAACATTGAAACTTCAAGTAGGTAACTCAAGATAGCCGATACAACTGTTTATTCAGCTATGTAAGTTTCTCTCAGTCAATGACCACTAGAGGTAGAAGTAAGGTAAAGGGTCCTTTTTCCACACCTTCAGGTGTAATGGGCATATAGGGCTAGACTATATTTTTTACAGACCAATCAGCTCTTGATGGTGATGTGGTCAACATCACGCCGGCCACCTTTACTTCCCACGACTGTAGCTGGTATCATTTAGGGCTGGGTCGACCTGAGAGCCAAAGACATTTTTGTAAACAAAACAAAAAAATCCGACTCCGCCAGGACCTGAACCCAGGACCTTCTGATCCAAAGCTGAGCGTCCAGCCACCCAACGGCAGCTCTCAGCAGTCCAAGTGTCTAGGTTTTTTTATTATAGCAATTATTTTCAGGCGATTTCACACAACCATCTTATAATTACTCTATTGAAATATACTTTTACAGTCGACTCAGCCAACACCAAGTCCAGCACACTTGGAACAAGGAATTGTCATTCAAACCAGATTGTTCTCTCAGTCAGCCATCTTTTGTGCTATCTGACATAACCAGGATTCACCACATTGTCAGCCACTTGTACCAATACCCACAGATTCACTCACAGACATCTAGTCATTCATTCTCTAAGCATTATTTTCCAAGTGGCAATATGCACAGTGATGGAGATGCCAGATTTCTTTAGTTCGTTCTGACTAAATGTTAAACTTAGGAGATCACATGATGTTATGGAAGATCATCAAGGCATGGCGTCACACACTGTGTGTTCCTTGGGACCGAAAGAGATAGCAAACATGTTGTACAAGGTGACTAATTAGTGGTGTTTCCTTTGAAGTCACAGTGCATGTGCCCAAGAGGCGATGAACCAACAGTCTGCATACAAATAAGTGAGGTCTGTAAAACAGATGTGCAAGCAAAACTCAATCGCTGGAACAAGATTAAAGTCCACGATCAGACGAACCACTGGAACTTTCCACCAAAGTTTACAGATGGTGAATGATAAGAGGAAGAAACCAGGAACAGACTCATAAAAAAATGGCTGCAGACTAAAAGCTAAGAGAAATACCTGACAGTTATATTGCTGCAGACTGAAGAATAACAGAAATACCTGACAGTTATATTGCTGCAGACTGAAGAATAACAGAATAACCTGAAAGTTATGCTGCTGCAGACTGAAGAATAACAGAAATACCTGAAAGTTATGCTGCTGCAGACTGAAGAATAACAGAAATACCTGAAAGTTATGTTGCTGTAGAATAAGGAATAACAGAAATACCTGAAAGTTATGCTGCTGCAGACTGAAGAATAACAGAAATACCTGAAAGTTATGTTGCTGTAGAATAAGGAATAACAGAAATACCTGAAAGTTATGTTGCTGTAGAATAAGGAATAACAGAAATACCTGAAAGTTATAGCTGAGTCCGACCTCCAGGGACTGATGGGCCAGCTTGAAGTTGTTCTGACTGAGATGAATCTGAGCCATCAAAATGTGGGCACTGGAGAATGTAGCATCTTGGTCCAAGCAGTGCTGCAAGGTGGTTTGTGCTGTGCTGATGTCCCCTGAAATGTTAGAACTCTTCTTAGGAAAGGAAATTTTAACTTTTAGTCGCATGGGGTTTCCTAATATAGGGAAAAAAACAAAGTCACAATTCTATAACCTTCACAGGGGCCTTTTAAACACACAGTGTAACTATGGGCAGATTTTGCTAGTGTGCTCTGGCTAAATGTAAGAGATTTAACAATGTCAGATGTGTTGATTGGAAGACCTTCAGATTAGTCAATCTGCATATAGGGGTGTCCCGAGTGCTGTGAGGTCGATTCTCAACTCAACATTCAACATTAGTCGGTCAGATGTGGAAAATGCAAATTTCCACTACCGAGTTAACTGAAAGAAACTTAGTTTCTGGTTGTTCGTCCACTTCTGGACTCTAGTCCTGTTTCAGAAATTGAGTGTTGTGTGAACATTTGTTTCACAGATCTGACTCATTTGCATGCAGACTTTTGCATGCAGACTGCTGGTTCCCTACCTCTCAGGCAGATGTACTATGACTTCGAAGGAAGCTCCCAATTTGTCAACTCTTACGATATCCTTTTGGGCAGGCAGTGGGTCTGTTTTTTGTTTTCACCACAATGGGGCCCGGGAGCCCACACAGGGAACTAAACAGACACAGCCCGCAAACTTGTAAGCTTCTGATAACAAAAAGGAGGCTGGTAGTCAGTGAAAGTACTGGCAAGGCAGCCATGGGATTTCTGGAGAGTGATATGTTTGTGACAAAGAAGTAGAAGGAGGAGGAAGAGAAGTGGGAGAAGGAAAAGCAGAAGGGAAAGAAGATTTTTTAAGGGGGGTGGGAGGGGGGAGGAAGAGTAAGAGAAGACTAAAAAAAAAAAGAGTGACCACAAACAGAAAACTCTCCAGTGTTGATTTACCTGACAGGAACTTGACTTTAGCAATGAGAAATAATCCCTCCATTAGGCCAGGAACTGCCCTTGTCAACGGGTCCAGAACTTGGTTACATCTCTTCAGAACAGGACTCACAGGCTGTCCAGGTGTCACAGGCTGGGTCAAACAAAACATACAAAAATGGTACTGGGCATCATCATCATCATGTAGCCGGTCCTTTGCAGAAGGTCACTATCATCATGATCTGCCTGAAAGAAACATGGTCTCTTGCTAAATCTCCCGCCTCCCGTTTTTCAGTTTCTTGCTAGATATTTAGCCTCGAGAATTTTCCTGTCCAAAGTGTCACTCGTATCCTATGCCCATATTCATGCTGGTCAGCATATGAAACTCTTTCCTGGTACCATGCCTTCGGCTATTATTTTTTTCGAATCCACCACAAACCTGATATGGTCAAAATATTTCAGTTTCCGAGACAAGATGCTGTTTACTAGCCAATCTTCCTTGATGTTCAGATCTTTCAGGATGCAGCAATTTTTTTTTTTCATTGTCCATGGTATTCTGAGAATCTTTCTATTGCATTTCAACTCAAAAGCCCCTATTTTGTTCCTTGAAAACTGCAAGATAGTCCACAACTCACATCTGAATGTTGCTACAGCGAAGATGCCTGCTGTCTAAATGCTGATGTCTGTTGAACAGTCTCCACTGTTGAATATTAGAATCTTAATATTCAAAGGTTTGTGACATTTTCAATTCCTTCATTAGTTACTGGGTTTTTTTTGGTGGTGATAGGCAGTTTTGGAATTGTGCAACATGTTTTATTTATCACACTGTTTTCATAATATGATCTTAACTCATTAAGTACCAAAAACTCAACATACCTTTACTGGTTACTGAACACATAGCATTATCTGTGTGGATTCAGTTGTTTGACTCGAAAAGTGGGGGGGGGGGGGGGGGGGGGGGGGGGGGGGGAGATAGCCATTGCCCTTAAACCCTTTCACCCTGGTGACCTATAAAAATGAGCTAATATGAGATAAAGTCAGCACAGAACCAATTCTAAATTACATACAAAGACAGCAGCAAATCAAATAGTTTGACCACTTGAAGAGAATGCCTTCTGATGCTATACCATACAAGGCATATACCAAAAGAAGAGAGGGATGTAGAGCAAGAGGCAGACCAAAAACACCATGGGAAGATAACACCAGACAAACTCTACAGTACCACGATGGGTCTATGGTCGAAGAAGCCAGAAGAGCACGAAGCAGGACCTTTTATCTCTCTCGACACCTAAAGTGGTAAAAAAGTATGTAGAGAAGAAGAAGACCTATAAAAACAATGCCAATTACCTGTAATCAGAGAATTCCTGAGAAAAAAATCCCTTTTAAAAAAACAACCATTTTACAGAGGTCAAACACAAAAATCACAGCAATTCCATTTATCGACCAAAACAATACTACATTCCATCAAGAATACAGGGAGTCATTGGTTAAAAACAAATGCAGGAGAGAATTAATTGGGTCATATATCTGTAAGACTAAAAAAATAAATTGCGAGGGTGATTAATTTTTTTAACCCTAGGAACCAAATAGAGGTTAACCCGGTAACCAATGGGAAAACTATTACATCAGCTTAACCCTGTAACCAATGGGAAAACTATTACATCATTCTTCTATTTATTAGGAAAACTCAATTTTTTTTAAACAGGAAAACGTGCTATTTTTAGTAATTATGGTAACTCCTGATTTTGAGCTTTCTCAACACTAAACAGGAAACTTAAAATTCTATTGTCAAATCAATACTGTTGTATGGAGCAGAAACATGGAGAACAACTAAGGCAATTACTAATGAACTACAAACATTAACTGGTGAATGCGCCGAATAGAGGCAATTAAATGGTATGATTTAATCACTTACATACATCTTTGGGAGAGAACTCAGCAAGTTCCAGTGGACCAAGAGGTGAAGAAAAGACGTTGGCATTGGATAGGACTCACTGTAGGAAAAGCTTAGTACAATATAACTAGAATGTCTTTGCACTGGAACATGGGGCACAGGGGGCATAGGAATAAAGGATGACCAAAAAACACAAGGAGAGGGGAGCAAGAGAGTGAAGTTAAAAAAAAAAGATGGGGAGGAGATGGGGAGATAAAAAAACACAAGGAGAAGGGAGCTAGAGAGTGAAGTTTAAAAAAAAAAGAAGGGGAGGAGATGGGGAGACCAAAAAACACAAGGAGAAGGGAGCTAGAGAGTGAAGTTAAAAAAAAAAGAAGGGGAGGAGATGGGGAGGACACAGGGAGATCAAAAAACACAAGGAGAAGGGAGCTAGAGAGTTAAGTTAAAAAAAAAGGTGGTCAGGACATGGGAATAGCTGCATGCAACAGCAAAGGATAGAACGACTTGGTGTGAGTTGGCTGGGGGCCTATGCTTCATTGGGGGCTAGAAAGGCAGAAGAAGAAGAATACCTGGTTTTCCTAATCATGTGTGCATGCATAAATGATAACACTGCTACCAGCCAGGAGTCTTGTGATTACTGATTTCAGAATCGACATCAAAGCACACCGGGCATGCCCAACGGGGCTCCCTCTCCCACAGCAAATGTTTTAAGGTGTAGATGCTAACTGTTCCCATAGCACCGGATCCACACTAAATTCCTCATTCACACATTCTTGCAAATGTTATTTCATCTAATCTCGTGTCTTCTGTCAGCAGTTGTTCGTATATGGTCTTCAGAATATCTCCCTTGTCCAGTACGAGTGTTCCCGTAGCTTTCACTTTTGTAGCTGAAAATCTGCTCTTTCATTCCCTCCCACTCCTGCATTTCCCAGACAATAAATTCACGTGATTTCCTGCAATGTTGGCGTACTGATACATGGCATCCACTCATGTCACATTAGTCCATTTTGATCTTTCCACAGTGTCGACAGAGAATCAGATAATAATTCCTCTGGTAACTTTGTTTTTTGCTATCCAATTCAGAGCTTCAGCGACTGCCTCCACACCCATCCTCATGCTTGACGTTGTAGATAAAAAAGCTCCATTTTGTTTTGCCACAATTTTTCCTTTTGTTCTAGCTGAAAATCCCCAGCCAGATCTTACATCCAGATGAACAGAACCATCGGTTTACACTGCTGCATCCTCCAGCCCAGCCTTTCCATCTATCAGCTGTTGTACCTCTAATTCTGCCTTACTGTAAGTCTTGTGAAAGTGTATAGACTATACATGAAGTATAAGAAGAAGTTGGTGACTGAGAAGTTGGTGACTGAGAAGTTGGTGACTGAGAAGTTGGTGACTGAGAAGCTACTGACATTGTCTTACCACTTGAGGTGCAAACTGTAAGTAATCCTTGATAACCTGCAGCAGGAAATCAGGGTTTAACTTGCAAAAGTAGTCAACTCCCAATGGCAAACCCTGAAATATTTAACAATGTGCACATTGTACTCATAAAGACAAACCCAGAAATATTCAAGATTGTGTAAAATCTATGTCCAACCCTGAAAAATTCAACAATGTGTTAGTCTTAACTGTAATGGCAAACCCTGTGTATATCCTACATCTAATGGCAAACCCTAAAATGTTTACAATGTGTACAGTTTTACGTCTAATGGTAAACCCTGACATGTTAAAAATGTGTATAGTTTTATGTCTAATGACAAACCCTGAAATGTTAACAATGTGTATAGTTTTACGTCTAATGGTAAACCCTGACATGTTAAAAATGTGTATAGTTTTATGTCTAATGACAAACCCTGAAATGTTAACAATGTGTACAGTTTTACGTCTAATGGTAAACCCTGACATGTTAAAAATGTGTATAGTTTTATGTCTAATGACAAACCCTGAAATGTTAACAATGTGTATAGTTTTACGTCTAACCGCAGACCCTAAAATACTGATAAATGTGCACAGGTTACATCTAATGGCAAACCCTGACATATTTAACAATATGCTTCACGCGCTTTTCTACCCAAATCTTCAATGTTCTGTGTCCATCTTCTTGCTACGTCTAATGACAAACTCGTATCGTATCGTATCGTATAAAATCAAACAAAAATTTCAAGCTTAGTCCTTTTTTAGCCGCCTGATGGCCTGCTTTTTCAAGGACGGTTCCTTTGCTATCTTATTTTATTTATATTCCTTGTGGTGATCACTTTCACCTGAGTTTGTTCATTTGTTGCCTAAGTTCTGGTTCTGAGGGGCCTGGTTCCTGTTTAATTGGCTATTCGCTAGCTTTTGCACTGTTCATCTGTGTTAGCACCAAGTCAGTTTGAAGTCACACCGCCACGAAACAAACAGTTCCGCATACTGAGCGCCCTAAAACACGGCCCCCACAGGACGACTGTCACAATCTTGTTGTTGTGTGCAGCCGTTAGATAAGTAGAGGAGGTAACAAAGGTTGCAAAAAAAATTAGAACGCCCGAAGGTGCAAAGATATTGTATAGCTAGGTCGGAAGTTGGAGAGAGACAGATAGCTTGCTAGGTTGAGGAAGAGGTCCTTGGTGGGTTGAGTCCTGCACGCTGCCTGCTCTGCCTGGGTAGATCTGAAAATAGACTGATTTACATTTTAGATATATGTGGGGAGGGACGGGTGAAGTTATCAGGGAAGCGTGGTAGCCTGGAATTCCACAAGTGCTGGTCCCCTTATTGTGCAATGCCCTTTTAGCTGGTTTGCCTCAGAGCGTCGGGTGGCCTTTGGTGGGTTTCCTCGGTTTTTAGCTGAAAATGAGTTTATTAACATTGAAACATGTGTGGGAGGGGCGGGGAGTTTACAAAATGAAATGCATAACAGACTGAAATCCACGAGTGCTGGTCCCCTTCTTGTGCTATGCCCTTTAGCTGGTTTGCCTCGGAGCGTCGGGTGGCCTTTGGTGGGTTCGGTCGTATTATTCTTTCTGAAAAAATACTATGAGAAATTATGTTAGTTGAATTTTTTAGTCTGGTTGATTCGCCTGTGGTTGAGAAGGAGTGGGAGTGATACAGGCTGAGGGGCAGGAATGCCTTTGAGAGGACATACAGTGAGGTCGGAAGAGTGAGTGAGAGGTAAGGTTGCCTCTGTTGTGGGTGCTGGTACTCGCTGGATCTGGTCATATCATGATGAGGGGTGGCTCTCAGATCGCTTTCCCGGTTCTGGATATGAACTGCTTCACAAGTCGCTGGACCTTGTCGTCGCAGCTTACACTGAGGCAGTTTTCAGTTGTCATAGGTTGGTTTGAGGCTCTGAAGTGCAGCACGAGCTTTTGTCTCTCTATTTCGTGGTGTTTGCAGTTGACAAACTCTAAAATATACTACAATGTATATAGTCTACATCTAATGACAAACTGATATTTTCAACAATGTGTATGGTCTGTTTAATGAAAAACCCTGAAATATTCAAACATATGTCAGGTATATGTCTAAACCCTGACACATTTAATAAGGGGTACAATCTGCACTCTTGGACAGTTACTGGTGTCATCAGAACTGCAACTCTTCATTTTCTGCTGAAGATGGGGACAGAGCACTTATAGGGGTATCCATAGTGCTGTGATGTCAATTCTTAATTCAACATTCTGTGCTTAATGGCAGGCCCCAACAGATTCAAAAATGTACACTGAACATGGAGGACTGTGAAAAATTTGAGCTGTAAAAAGAAATACACACAAACACATACATACACACACATAAAGAGGCAAACGTCTTTTTCAAAAAGCAAAAGTACTCAATAAGTACCAACCTTTAAACTTGCAAAGTGCAGCTCAATAGACTCGTTGAGCAGTTCCATGGTTTTCTCTGGCCCTTTTCCTTTCTTCTTGGCCAGAATTGCAGAGAGGTATGCTAACTCCTAACATAAGAAAAACAAACACAAATAAATAGTGTAGTGCAGTGCAGAATTTATTTCTTTAATCTGCATGGGTAGTAGTAGCAGCAGCAGCATAATGTTAGTAATTAGTAGCAGAAACAGCAGCAGTAGTAGTAATAATAGCAGCAGTTGTTGTACAAGAATAAGTCAGTAGGTGAAGGCAACTCGACATAGTCTCCCTGCCTTGCAACACATGTAGTCTACTGATTCACAAGATTGTGGATGCCTGACAGGTACAAGCTTTTGTGTGTGGCCAGTAACCAAGTCTGCATGACCGACATCATCTCACTGTCATCTGCAAACCTCAGACCCTGCCATTGTTGCAATACTTCTGTGTCCTGAAATAATTTTGTTTCTTACTTCTGCATACAACTGCTTTACTTAATGACTTCCCTCCATAGTGGTAGCAGTAGTAGGAGTGGCAGTAATATTAGTGAGTAGTAGCAGCAGCAGTAGGAGTGGTAGTAATATTAGTGAGTAGTAGCAGCAGCAGTAGGAGTGGTAGTAATATTAGTGAGTAGTAGCAGCAGTAGTAGGAGTGGTAGTAATATTAGTGAGTAGTAGCAGCAGCAGTAGGAGTGGTAGTAATATTAGTGAGTAGTAGCAGCAGTAGTAGGAGTGGTAGTAATATTAGTGAGTAGTAGCAGCAGCAGTAGGAGTGGTAGTAATATTAGTGAGTAGTAGCAGCAGCAGTAGGAGTGGTAGTAATATTTATTAGTGAGTAGTAGCAGCAGCAGTAGGAGTGGTAGTAATATTAGTGAGTAGTAGCAGCAGCAGTAGGAGTGGTAGTAATATTAGTGAGTAGTAGCAGCAGCAGTAGGAGTGGTAGTAATATTAGTGAGTAGTAGCAGCAAAAGTAAGTAAAAAGTAAAGGACCCTCTTCCATGTCTTTAGGCATATAGGGCATATAGGGCTAGACCTATATTTTTATAGACCAATCGGCGCAGATGGGTGATGTGGTCAGAATCACGCCGGCCGCCTTTACTTCCTGGCACTGCACCCGGTACTCTTACAAGGCTGGAGCGACCTGGCAGCCAAGGTCATTTTTGAAAAAAGTCCGGCTCCACCAGGGAGTGCACCCATGACCTTCCGATACGCGGCGAGCATCTAGCCACTCTGCCACGGCGACTCCTGCAGCATCAGTAGGAGTGGTAGTAATATTAGTGAGTAGTAGTAGTAGTAGCAGCAACAATAGGGGTGGTAGTAATATTAGTGAGTAGTAGTAGCAGCAACAGTAGGGGTGGTAGCAATATTAGTGAGTAACAGTAGTAGTAGCAAATGTCACAAACTTTAAATATCTAGGCTCTATAATAAATAGCAATAGAGACTGTTTGACAGAAATTAAAAGGAGGATGGCCATAGCAATGCAAAGATGAAACAGCCTAAAAAGTCTATAGTTAAGCACCAGCAAGGAGATCAAAATTATAATTTTGAGAGCATGCATCCTCCTATAGCAACGTACGGATGTGAGTCGTGGACCGTCTCCCAATCCTTTAGAAAGAGAATAGGGGTTTTTAAGCTGAAGTGCTATAGAAAGATTCTCAAAATATCTTGGACAAAGAAGAGGAGAAATACTGACATCTTGAAAGATCTGAACATCAAGGAAGATTGGCTAATAAACAGCATCCTGTTTTGGAAGCTGAAATATCATGACAGATTGGAAGCGCCATGACAGATTGGAAAAAATTATAGCAGAAGTTATGGTTCCAGGAAAGAAGGGCAGGGGCAGACCAACATGAAGATGGACACAGGATATAAGTGACTCCCCGAGTATCAAAGTACAAGAGGCGGGATAGCTGGCGAGAGACTGAGTTTCTTTCAGGCAGACCATGATGAGAGCGACATTCTGCAAAAGGACTTGCTACATGACGATGATGAGTAGTAGTGGTAGCGGCAGTAGGAGTGGTAGTAATATTAGTGAGTAGTAGTAGTAGTAAAAAAAAGGTAAAGTCAGGAGATGTGAACCAGCGTCACTGCACACGGTTATAAACCATAAGTGCTCTGCCACCAGTACGGAAAGCTGATAAGAAACTGTCCGCCTGTGTTGCTGTCCTCACAAAACTTTGTAGCTATAGTGACGTTCCTCCATTTACCCTGGAGTGTTAACTCTGGTACCCATTTCCTAGAGGCTAGGTGAACCCCTAGGACACTTTACACACCAGTGGCGCATCTGGCATACGACACTAAACGCATATTTTATAGACCAATCGGCTTTCAGTGGGTGATGTAGTCCACCTTCCACTGATCGCCTTTACTTACTAAGACTTTACCTGGTAGTCATGTTATGCTGGGATGACCTAGCATCCAAGGTCTGGCCTCTTCCATGTCTTTAGGCATATAGGGCTAGACCTATATTTTTATAGACCAATCGGCGCAAGATGGGTGATGTGGTCAGAATCACACCGGCCGCCTTTACTTCCTGGCACTGCACCCGGTACCCTTACAAGGCTGGAGCGCATTGGCAGCCAAGGTCATTTTTGAAAAAAGTCCGGCTCCACCTAGGAGTGCACGCATGACCTTCCGATACGCGGCGAGCATCTAGCCACTCTGCCACGGCGACTCCTGCAGCATCAGTAGGAGTGGTAGTAATATTAGTGAGTAGTAGTAGTAGTAGCAGCAACAATAGGAGTGGTAGTAATATTAGTGAGTAGTAGTAGTAGTAGCAGCAACAATAGGGGTGGTAGTAATATTAGTGAGTAGTAGTAGCAGCAACAGTAGGGGTGGTAGCAATATTAGTGAGTAACAGTAGTAGTAGCAAATGTCACAAACTTTAAATATCTAGGCTCTATAATAAATAGCAATAGAGACTGTTTGACAGAAATTAAAAGGAGGATGGCCATAGCAATGCAAAGATGAAACAGCCTAAAAAGTCTATAGTTAAGCACCAGCAAGGAGATCAAAATTATAATTTTGAGAGCATGCATCCTCCTATAGCAACGTACGGATGTGAGTCGTGGACCGTCTCCCAATCCTTTAGAAAGAAAATAGGGGTTTTTAAGCTGAAGTGCTATAGAAAGATTCTCAAAATATCTTGGACAAAGAAGAGGAGAAATACTGACATCTTGAAAGATCTGAACATCAAGGAAGATTGGCTAATAAACAGCATCCTGTTTTGGAAGCTGAAATATTTTGACAGATTGGAAGCGCCATGACAGATTGGAAAAAATTATAGCAGAAGTTATGGTTCCAGGAAAGAAGGGCAGGGGCAGACCAACATGAAGATGGACACAGGATATAAGTGACTCCCCGAGTATCAAAGTACAAGAGGCGGGATAGCTGGCGAGAGACTGAGTTTCTTTCAGGCAGACCATGATGAGAGCGACATTCTGCAAAAGGACTTGCTACATGACGATGATGAGTAGTAGTGGTAGCGGCAGTAGGAGTGGTAGTAATATTAGTGAGTAGTAGTAGTAGTAAAAAAAGGTAAAGTCAGGAGATGTGAACCAGCGTCACTGCACACGGTTATAAACCATAAGTGCTCTGCCACCAGTACGGAAAGCTGATAAGAAACTGTCCGCCTGTGTTGCTGTCCTCACAAAACTTTGTAGCTATAGTGACGTTCCTCCATTTACCCTGGAGTGTTAACTCTGGTACCCATTTCCTAGAGGCTAGGTGAACCCCTAGGACACTTTACACACCAGTGGCGCATCTGGCATACGACACTAAACGCATATTTTATAGACCAATCGGCTTTCAGTGGGTGATGTAGTCCACCTTCCACTGATCGCCTTTACTTACTAGGACTTTACCTGGTAGTCATGTTATGCTGGGATGACCTAGCATCCAAGGTCTGGCTTTTTATTGTGAAAAAATTTCCACTTGATGCGGATTAGACAAGAGATCGATTATCTAGCCGCTACACCCCCACAGCTCCTGGTAGTAGCAACAGCTGTTTAAAAAAAATTTTATGCCAAAATAATAGAAGTAGCAGCAGCAGTAATAGGTATAGCAGTCGCAGTAGTAGTAGTAATAGCAACAATAGTAATTATAAATGTAGTAGTCACAGTAGTAGTAGCAATAGTAATTATAAAAATAGAAGTAGCAGTAAATATTATAAAACTAATATGTATAAAAGTAGTAGTAGCAGAAGTAGCAGTTATAAATGTAATAAGAGCAGTAGTAGTCATATAAGTAGTAGTAGTAGTAGTAGTAGTAGCCGTTATAAATGTAAGAGCAGTAGTAGTCATAAAAGTAGTAGTAGTAGTAGCCATTTTATAAATTAAGAGCAGTAGTAGTCATAAAAGTAGTAGTAGTAGCAGAAGCCGTTATAAATGTAAGAGCAGTAGTAGTCATAAAAGTAGTAGTAGTAGTAGTAGTAGTAGTAGTAGTAGCCGTTATAAATGTAAGAGCAGTAGTAGTCATAAAAGTAGTAGTAGTAGTAGTAGTAGCCGTTATAAATGTAAGAGCAGTAGTAGTCATAAAAGTAGTAGTAGTAGTAGTAGTAGTAGCCGTTATAAATGTAAGAGCAGTAGTTGTCGTAAAAGTGGTAGCAGCAGTAGCAGTTATAAATGTAGGAAGAGCAGTAGTTGTCGTAAAAGTGGTAGCAGCAGTAGCAGTTATAAACATAACAAGAGCAGTAGTTGTCGTAAAAGTGGTAGCAGCAGTAGCAGTTATAAACATAGCAAGAGCAGTAGGAGTTGTAAAAGTGGTAGCAGCAGTAGCAGTTATAAACATAGCAAGAGCAGTAGGAGTTGTAAAAGTGGTAGCAGCAGTAGCAGTTATAAACATAGCAAGAGCAGTAGTTGTCGTAAAAGTGGTAGCAGCAGTAGCAGTTTTAAACATAGCAAGAGCAGTAGGAGTTGTAAAAGTGGTAGCAGCAGTAGCAGTTTTAAACATAGCAAGAGCAGTAGGAGTTGTAAAAGTGGCAGTAGCAGCAGCAGTTACAAAAGTAGTAGCAGCAGTAGAACAAAGGCAAGTCAGTTCAGAGAGGGAGATACATTACCGGCAACACTCACTATGGAGACGGCACCTAACCGATTGACTGACAAAAAAGAAGTCTAAAAATAAAAAAAGGAAAAAACTTACAGCAGAACGCCCAATTGTTTGCTGAAGCTCATTCAGAAACTCCAGTTGTTGTGCAGCTTCTTCAACATGATCCAGCAACAGCTGGCAGCCAATGATGCCCGTCAGAGCAGACACACTGGTTTCATCAAGTTGCATGGCATTCCTGTAACACTTCATGGCTTCCTTCACCTGCGGGATGTATATTAAAAAGGGTTAACTGCATCCCACCAAGAACAAGATGGGAAAATAACATCACAGAAACTCTGCAGCACCACGAAGTGTCTATGATTGAAGCAGCCAGAAGAGCACAATGCAGGACCTTATATCTCCCTTGACACCCAAAGCGGTAAAAGAGGACGTTAAGAAGAAGAATAAGAACTGAATCTCAGATGGATGTTAAATCAACACTTCCTTCTTCTTCTGTCTTTTATCCAACAGTGCAGCATAAGCCCTCAACCAACTCAAACCAATTCATCCTGTTCTTGGTTACTGCACGCAGCTCTCCCCATAATCATTCTTGGGGCCCACTACCTCCCCAACAAACATGTTGTAGGAGTCGAATAACTGAGAGCTTCCTTCGAAGTCAGAGTGCATCTGCCCAAGTGGCAAGGAACACCCTTTTCACACAAATAAGCTAGTAAAACTGATGTACACATAAAACTTAGTCTAAATGGACGAACAACCAGGACTTTCTGCCGGATCTTACATCCAAAGAACAAAGAAGAAGAAGACGCATGCAACTCACCCATGTCCTCCATATCCTTATAGCTTCATTCTCTAGCTCCAATCTCCATGTGTGTGTCTAGTCTGCCTTTATTTCTACACTCCTGTGAGTTCCAGTGCAAAGACATTCTAGTTACATTGTTCTCAAGTTTTCAAATCTGGTGTCCTATCCAATAGCCGCGTCTTTGCTTCACCTCTTGATTTACTAGAATTTTTTTAGTTCTCTCCCAAAGCTTAAGTGATTCTACCAGACCACTTAAATTTCTCTATTCCGAATAGACATGAGTTAATGAATGTTTGTAGCTTACTAGTAACTGTTTTAGTTGTTTTAAACACGTTCTCAAAGTATACTTTTTAAAAAGGTTTTGAACAACGGATCAACATCATGGCACACAGGTAGTAACCCATAAGTGCTATGTTCTTCTTTCAACTCAAGTCTGAGAAGTTCAGTCAGCACAGTGCACTGGCTCTGTAGCACCGGTGAGGATCCTGAAATACTTTGGGTAGATTTTAAACTCAAATTTTGCCTGGGCAGCGTTATTTTCAATTTCCAAGTGATAAGGGATTTTTTTCTGTGCAACAATGCACATGGGTGTCTGATCTCACTACCCAGAGACAAGGGGAAATTACTAGAAGTCCATGTGAAAAAATTCCAGCCCTTACCAGGGACTGAACCCAGAACCTCTAGCACTCGAGGCGAACACCATACCTCAAGACTACACAGCCCCTACTTATGGTAATTGTCTTGTACTTTAAAAAAAAGAGGCTTTAAACACCAGTGACACATCAAGCATATGATGTTGGACTGATACTTCAAGAGACAAATCGGCACTCTACAGGTGATGTTATAAACATTATGCCAACCATCTTTGTTTCCCAAGACATTATCTAGTAGCTATTTGAAGCTGGGTTGACCTGAAGGTCAGGGTCAGTTTGAAAAACAATTTAAACAATTAACTACCACATGCATAAAATAAAGATTGTACAGTCCCCACAGTGTGCATGTCAAACAAGACCACAAACACCTGAGCACATTCTGCAGACCTGCCCACTCTACCTACAGCTTCAAAAAGACACCTCGCCTCAAGAGCAAAGTGTGCAGAATCACTAACTTCAAAGAAGAAACGGCCAACTACAGAGAAAAGTTACTTTTCAGAGCATTTCTTGGTACCAATTTTTGGCTACGTCAAACTTGCAGCAGACAATAAGAACAGCAAGCTAAAATAGGTGAGGCCAGATAACACTCTTCCCATTCACTTCCTATAAACATGACGGAAAGTTTCTACTTGTTCATCCATTTTCTGGACTTCAATCTTGTTCCAGAACTTGAGTTTTACATGCACATCCATTTTACAGATCTGGCCTATATGTATGCAGACTGCTGGTTCCTCCCCTCTCTGGCAGATGGAAACACCCCTAATTAGTTGCCTTCTACAACATGCTCGGTAGGGTGGGGGAAGGGGGGGGGGCGTGGGTCTATTCCCCCTCCCCAAATGGGGCCCAAGAAACCACATAGGAAGGAGTGGTATTTCAGCTGCTACATTCATTCATTCATTCATTTTCTTCTCTCTCATTCATTCATTCATTCTTTCTCTCATTCATTCATTCTTTCTCATTCATTCATTCATTCATTCATTCAATATCCTGATGTACCATTATATGTCACATAGGGCTCACAGTCTGTTCTTCTATTCCACCCTTTCCTGTGAAATCATTTCAATATTATCGATGGTCCAGCAGCTTTGGCCTCTCTCATCAATGTTCATCTTAGGGTTTCTTTTGGGCGTCCTCGCCTCATTTATCCTTTTATTTCCCATTCTGTCTGTTTAGTGATTCTCTGCTAGTTTCTTTTCAGGATCTGTCCAAGGTAGCACCATCTTCTCTGTCTTTTAACTGTTGATACTAGTGGTTGTCCAGACACTTTTCTTATTTCTTCAATCCATCTGAATTCACCCCATTTGATTTTCATAATTTTCCTAAAAAATTTGTCTTTGAATGCATTTAACTTTCATTTCTATTCTTTACTGAATCTCAACAAAGATAGTCCGAGAACTTACTGAATAAATAGTTTGATGTGCAGCCATGACAATCTATTGACTTTCGAACAAACGTTACTTATAAAGGGTTACAAATTGGGCATGCAGGCCCGTATTAAATTCGTCCCTCTCAAGCGTTCATCTTTTAAACCTCAGCTGCATATTATCAATAATGCATGTTATGTTTATAAATAAATATACATAATTAAAAAATGCATAAACACATCATGTATACACAATCATACACACTCGAAATATTCCCATACACACATAGACACAAGCACACCCTTACATATACATGCATACACACACACACACTCATATGTACACCCTCAAATACATACATGCACTTATTCTCATATAGACACATACAAGCACCCATACTCATATGTACAAATACACGCACACAACTCATACACACACATGCACAATCACCTTTATAAACACAAGCACTTATACATACACAAGCAAACATCCCTACATATACGCACATCCACGCACACATGCATTCTCATGAATGAATAACTAGTAACCAGTTAACTAAGTAGCCAATGTGAAATTTGAAGAAATTTTTTTTTACAAAAACACCATTTCCAAAAACAAAAACAAAAAAACAGAACTACAGACACGAAACAAATAATAAAGCAGGGACACAGAGAATTAATTACCTTGCCCTGTTGGAGCAGCTGGAAGCCCATTTCATTCACAAAGTCGGCATTATTGTGATCAAGTGACACTGCACTTTCAATCAACACTTGCGTCTGCTGCAAGACCAAGGCATTTCTCCCACACTGCCAAAAATATAAAAAAAATAAAAAAAGGTAATGGTAATAATAAACATAATCTAATACAACTAGTCTCTCTTTGTTAAAATTTTTTCAGCTTTTTCCCTTAAAAAGGCAGGTGACACACTGTGTTGTGGTTTACAGCTAGACTGCGATATCTGCTGCAACTATCTGTCCAACCCATCCGATTTCAGCAAACTGTTAATTAGTTACCTTTTACAACATGCTTATGTGGGGGGGAAGAGGCTTTCTCGTTTTTCAACTCATATTTTAATAACTGAGATGAGAAAGAGAACTGGATTCTTTGTTAACTGATATGAAAAGCAGAGTTGGATTCTTAGTTAACTGAAGTGTGAAACAGAACTGTTGGGAGTTACTTAGACTCGATCCTAATGTAGGCAAGAGAGTCATGGCCAGTTGGCCATTTTTTTTTTTTAAAGTGAAAGCCGCACAGATGTAGTTTTACAGATGAATGATAAGACAGAAGAAAAGACAGATGAAAAAGTAATGCAGTTTTGAGTACACTTCTGTTTTAAAAGATTTGCTTATCTGTAAGCAGACTGTTGGTTTCTTGCACCCCAGGCAGATGCACTACAGCTTCGAAGGAAACATTGCTAATTAACCTTTATTACATCCTTTCATTGCAGGCAGTAGGTCTATTCCCTTCCCTCACCCCAGCCCCAAAATGGGGCCTCAGAACCCAAAAGGGAAGGATGATATTCAACAGTGAGATAAAAGCATAGGTGGAATTATAATCAGGTTGCAATAGACACTGTTAGCATGGGAACTCTTCGCAGGCTGCTGAGAAAGGAGACGGAGCACTTGTGAGAATGCCTCAAGTGCAGTGATGTTAATTCTTGATTCATTAATTCATTTTATCTGTACCAGAAATGTTAAGTGTTAAGCATCAAAGAAGAGATTTCACCTACCAGTCTTGAGAAAACCTGGGCCATGTGCAGATAGAGCTGACCGCTGTTAGACTCCAGCTTGTCCAGTACAGCAATCAAATCAGCAATCTTCGAAGCTGCCTGTGTGTGCAACAGAAATTATAAATGGAAAAAGCTGCCATTATCCGTAACATCATGTTGATTATATTTGTCCCTGTGTGGATTCCCACTGCCTACCCAAAAGCATGTCGTAAGAGTCGACTAATTGGGGGCTTCCTTCGAAATCAGAATGCATCTGCCTGAGAGGCAAGGAACCAGCAGTCTGCATACAAATGAGTCAGATCTGTAAAAAGAATGCACCCGCAACACTCAGGTTCTGGAACAGGACTGCAGTCCAGAAGTGGACAAACAACCAGAACTTTCTGCCAGAGTTTACAGCTGGTGAACGCGAAGAAGAAGAAAGACAAGAAGAAGATTATATTTCCATCACCCAGCTATTGTGCTAAGAGCATGGCGTGACACTGTGAGCTGCAGATTTAATTTTAAATGTTATAACACTGTGCCCAACATGGTTTGTACTGTGAAGTGAAAATTAAGAAACTGGTGAATGGCCTGCTGCCACAGAAGTAGCAGTGCTCTTTGCAATTAAATACAACTACAGATCTGTGTTACCCTGTTTCCATCTATGGTGTGCTGCATTTCTTGTGTCAGACTGTCTAAGTTAGCACTTCTCATGGCTGTCTTATGCATTTAATGAGTGTGTATGCTTTTGGCTTTGCAGGGACTGTAGTCTGTGTAAATTTTTCTGCAAGGGACAGTGATAAATTGTCTGTGTGGTTTCTGATGGTACAGGAACAGAACAGCTATGGGGCCACCCATCTGCTATGAAGTTAGAACTCCATTGATCTGATTACCTGATCATGCTGATTCACTCAATCATTCACAGATTTATATATACATTAAATCAAACTAACGTTGATCTTCCCAGATCCCGCCCATTTAAACACTAGCTCACTTCTGATTGGTCGACCTTGAGCCGCGCAATCTTGACACAAGGTTAGGAGGTTTCCGCAATGTCGCTGATATCGCATGTTGTATATTTCAGCACGCCAGCACTTTTAACACTACAAAAACATGTACAAACTGGGTCTAACACAACCCCCCCTAGAAAGTGCTGCAACCTAAGTCACAGGCATTCTCTTTCTCAGAATAGAAATGTAAATGCAAGATAACCCAGAAAGCAAACAACAAAGAGGCACACCCGTAACCTGCAGGAAAGTAGACCTGCCCAACAAACTTGTGAATGAAACATGACCTACTTTGTTTGGGGAGACTAACTTAAACCTAACCATACACTCATCCATTCACTCAGTCATTTAATAATTCATTCATTCACTTATTTGCTCATTTTCTAATTCCTACAACATTCATCCATTCTCTCATTCATTCATTCATTCATACATACATTTATTTATCCATTCACTCATTCATTCTCTCCTTTACTCAATCATTCATTCATTGGTGTTACTCAGTAGCACATTACCTCTGTGTAATGCCCCTCTCTGCAAATCAAGTGCAGTATCTGATATTTCAAGGCTTCGACGCAGTTCATATCAATGTTCAGAGCCCTAGACAACAACGAGAAGAGAGTACAGAAACTGCTTTGATCTTAAGATTCTTAAGAATGAATAATAACATGAAATTACAACATTTGAGATGAGATGTATGAGAAATACGGTGGTTAAAAACAAGAAGAAAAAGAATCAGCAAAGAAGAACTAAGAATAACTGGTAGGCACTGTACCGGTAAATGATTTAATAGAACAGCAAGTAATCAAACTGTCTGGTCATTATTCAAAAGTGAATTCTACCTACTGTAAACATTACTGTTTTGTGAATGTTGAATTAGGAATCAACATCACAGACCTCAGGACATTCCTATAAGCGCGCTGTCACCATTTTCACCGCAACATTTCCGATGGCACCAAGAACAGTCTGACTGTATATGCATCTCGCCTTTCCCCTGAGCGTTCAGCCTGATCCCCTGGTTATTCCTTGTAGAACCTTTCTCCTCAGATTGTTGTGATCTATTTGTGCCTCTGCACTCTCACTCACTGCCATAGGATTCTTACAACTTGTCAAGCACCAATTCACCGCCAAATAGTGCAGAACCAGTCAGCCTACTGCCTATTTGTTTCCCACCACACAGGTATTCACTAGAGAAAATATCAACATACGCTTTCCCTGAAACCTTTGAAGCTGTGTTTGCTACTTTGCACAGAACATATCTGTCTCCACTTTTTCAACATGCTCTGGGAGTCAATTACAATTTACTTTTTGTGAGTAAAAGGTAATACTAGCATCAAGAGATCTAATAGACTGAAATGGCTGGTGCATATTAAGAGAATGTCAGATGACAGAGAAGTAAAAACTGTATACACAAGGAAATTGAATGGTCATAGACCACGAGGCAGACCAAGAAGATGATGGAGAAATAATGTCCAGAAAGCCCTACAAACACCTGGTGTCATCAAATGGAAAGAGAAGGCCAACCAAAGAGATTAGTGAAGATGGGTGATATCTGCTGCAAGAACCTCAAGGGCTTGGAATGCTGAAGAAGAAGAAGAGTAAAAGGTACATGTAAGTTCATGGCAAGTTCTGCTGTTGGAGTTTAATGTACTCCCATGCTGAGGATGTAGCCATTTACTTCCCTTGTTGGGTATTAACAACAGAACAGAGCAATTCACTATTCTATGCCTTAGAACAGGACACAATCAACTTTGCAGCCACATGTACAGAAAATTGAAGACTGGTGATTCAGCTATGTGCACATGTGGATTGGCACTTGAGACAACAGATCACGTCTTCCAATAATGTCCCTAATACAACATACCAAGACAACATTTCTGGCCTTAGAGAAGCCAAACTTTACTAGTCATTGAGTGAATGACAAAGGACAGCCATGTTAATTCTACAGACAACATTGCAGATGTTGATAATCTACTTCAAATGAACAAACAAAAAAAGAAGAAGATTACCAGAATTTTGATCTAATCATTGGTCTGCCTGAAAGAAAGTCTCTCACCAGCTCTTCTGCTTCAAACACTTTACTACCCAAGGTGTCGCTGGATATCCTGTTTTGTGCTGGTCAGTCCCTCTCCCTCTTTCCTGACATTACGCCTTCTGTTATTATTTTTCTTCCCAATTCACTGTCACGCTTGATATGGCCACAATATTTCACTTTCCCAGACAAGATGTTGTTTATTAGCCAATGTTCTTTGATGTTCAGATCTCTTCAGTATTTCTGTTCTAGTAGGTAAAAGATAGGTATGGCAATGGATCGTTTTGTTTCGTTTATTTTGCTGTACATTTTCGTCGGTATCTATAGACGCGATTGCGACCCGAAAATTTGCAAACCAATTGTCTGTTATTCAGAAATTATTTTTCTGTGCTCTTTACGTGAAAGATAAAATCGGAAAAGTTATTAGAAGTTATTGGAGAGATGCCAGGCTTTGACCTGAGATGGTTTTGACGCGTATAAAATAAATCGATGTTTTTTTTGGCAGCACGCAGTGAATAACGGTAAGTAATTTCGTAAATATCTTTTTAATTAAACTGATTACCGCAATGTGTATTGTATCTTTGAATTCTGCGTTCATTTTTATATAAGTGTGGGAAATTTCACAAAGATTGGCAATACAGCACATGTTTAAAAAAATTGGTTAGTAGCATCACTGTTTTCCCTTCAAATCCAATGACGGTAAGTAATTTCGTAAATATCTTCTTTATTAGCCTGATTACCGCAATGTGTGGTGTATTTTTGAATTCTGCGTTAATTTTTATATAAGTGTGGGAAATTTCACAAAGATTGGCAATACAGCTCATGTTTAAAAAAATTGTTTAGTGGCATCACTGTTTTGGCTTTAAATCCAATAACGGTAAGTAATTTCGTAAATATCTTCTTAATTAGCCAGATTACCGCAACATGTGTTGTATTTTTGAATTCTGCGTTAATTTTTATATAAGTGTGGGAAATTTCACAAAGATTGGCAATACAGCACATGTTTAAAAAAATTGTTTAGTGGCATCACTGTTTTGGCTTTGAATTCAATATGTTTGCACTAGGAGACCGTTTTTCCCGCTTTATAATTAACTTAAAATAATTATTAAATTAGCTAAAGTTATTTTAATCATTTAAAATAAAATCCACAACCATTGAAGCATTTGTTCATGCATCTGTCATTATTTAGAGCCCTTCGCATTCTCTGTTGGATATTTTTTTTCCTGATCACCCTCAAATCCCAATAATTAATTTGGGCCATCATTGCGCATTTTCTAAGATTATTCTTTAGTAATTAACTTCAGATACTTAGTAAATTAATAATGTTAAGTGAGTTACTTTTTAAACATCTACAACTCTTGTAGCATTTTTTTATGCGTCTGTTATTATTTAGAATCCACGGAATTTTCAGTCGGAATTGGTAAATCTAAGTGGTCGAGAAACAACAGCAGCGCTGACAGCGTTCCCTTTCATCAGGCCTGCCAGTACTTGGGCTTTCCCCCAAGAACTGGGTTTTTTATACGACACCTTGGGTTAAGATTTTGGAATCTTTTTTTTTTTTTTAAACATATATATCCTTATATAAAAGTGGGTAAATGTTTCATTTCGTAATTATAAAATTAACTATAAAATATGTACTATTTGTCAATTTTGTTTTTCTTATATATTGCTTGGGTTTTTGGTAAGCTGTCACATACCGTTCGTGTCGCGTGCCTGATTTAAGGATTTCTCCTTAAGAACCAACAGAACTCTGAAATAAAATAATGTTGAGGCGTCGGCTCGCATTGGTCTAAGGGATATCCCGTGGCCAATATACGCTCAACTTATTTTAGGAGTAGGGCAACTTAAGTTCTGGCACTACAGAATATCTACTAATCCTAATCGCAACTTGGCTGGACACCCCCACTATTATAACAAGAAAGCCCCCAGGCTATGATAGTGTACTATCACAGCCATGTTAACACAGATTAAACTTACTAATCACACAAACATAAAAGCTAGACAGTTTGAACAGTGAATGATGGACACTCAAGTCAATAATGAAACTTTCTGAACATGTAATAAATGCAACACATACATTATATAAGAATCAGCAAAGAACTTCAAGAACCCAGAGTGATAGGAAGGACAAAAACTTCAAAACAGATCTGACTGAATGTGTAAGAGATTCCCAAGGTCCGCCTAGATCATCATCATGATCATGTGGACGATTAACAGTGAAGCCCGGCAATAAACCAATTGACCACACTTATCTGAATCCCTGGTTTCTTGAACTTGCTGAATATTCAGTCACTGTGTTGTTACGTTGAAGACAGTCCCACACTAGACACTCAAACACTGGTGATACACCCAAGCTCCTGGAGAGGATCTCGGGTACCAAGTCAATCAAAAATGATGGTGAAGGTACAACACCCATTATGTAGTCCATAGACCAACTGGAGGATTTCCCTAATGGATGACAAAAGTTTGGTTTACAATTGGATGCCCACCACTGGCTTGGACATTGGTGACTTCCTTGTAGGTGTTTTTGTGGACTGCTGATTCACTGCCTGGCCTCCAAGGAGATACCATCCTGTATCAAGAAGGAACTCAGAATTAGCAGTCATCTCAGGGGTTACATGTCAAGCTCAGTTTATTAACATCCACATTAGTAATCATTCAGAGGAGAGTTTTCAGGATAATGAGACAGTATAAGTCTCTAAATATCATCTCTGTTGTTCAGTCAGTAACAGGGACAAGAGACGAGTAGCAGAGTAGAGACAGATAGACTCTATCAAACATAGAATATCAACTCTCCTCGCCCACCTCTGCACTTGTAGATGTACATCCCATCTCACTCTCTCATATATATATATTTTATACCTCCACATTCTGCCCACTGCACACCCAGTGTTGTTGTGCTAAAAAAAAAACTCTAACGTCACAGTGCCTAGCTGGCTGAAGTGTGACCCAGTTAAATATGTCCGCTATTTGACACAAACTCTGTCGGCTGGTTAGAGAATAATTAACTTGCTGAGTTTAATATATTTATAATGGTGTGGGTCAGGTAGGGCACAAACTATTAGCCTGCGAAGGAAAAGGTTTGATTTCAGGGGCTTGAGTGTCTGGACACCAAGAACGGCCTAGTTCTGTGCGGTCACACAGTTGAATCTTTCCTCCCTGCAGCAGCAGCTAACTTTATAGAGACATATATCATGGTACTTGTAAACTATAATCAACTTACCCAAGCTTAGGAATCCTTCAAAGATTAAACTGGTATTTTGAATGCGCCAAGATTTAATCAGAGAGGTGACATACTTCTGCACACCTAGGAAGTCAGGCAAAGAATGACCCAGCCTAATCTCGCTTTGCGTCTCTAGAAAAAAAATGTCCCGTACAAGTACACCAAGGAGTAAAAAGGTTTCCAGGAATTCGGAATATTACTCCAGAAAATATATATCCCACAGTTGCAAGTTTGAAAATGTAGACTTTTCAAAACAACTAGAGGGTATAGAAATATCTATTCCACCAAATAGAGGTATATATCAAAATAATTGATTATATACCCACCGGACGGGTTTAAATTTGAAATGTGACCTGCCCGCTAGGGGCGTCAACGTCACAACGAGTCTACTGTGCAGGGTTTAGTTGATTCACCTCTTGACATAAGCTTAGCTTCAGGTTTGACAGAAAATCCCATTGGCAACCCTCCCATGTTTGGCTGTCCGCGTGTGGCTGCTATAGATCTATTTCTTACATTCAATGCTGGGTGGACATGGGAGCCATGGTCATTTTTGAAAGAAAAGTAAATCCGACCTGACCTGATTCCCAGAAATGAACACACCTGCTGTGTTTGCCCTGTTGTTAACACTGTCACCGACCTATTATGAAAACGGCGTGTACTACCAGTGGGCTCATGTTTTCTTCTACCATATAGAACGGAGAGTTGGGGGAGGGGCAGTAGAAGATTGAGAGAAAGTTGAGAAAGAGAGGGAGCAGGAGGAGGAGAGAGGAATTTTAAAAAAAAAGAGACTAAGAAAAGAAAGTCGACACTGAGACATGGGGAAAAAGAAAGAAGAGGAAAAAGAAAGAAAGAAGAGGAGAGATACCAGGGAAAGAAGGTAGCAGGAAGGGGATGCGGCCATCCCGGTATCATCACTGTGGGGGAAGGGGGGGAACAACCACCCCAGGTGTCATTACTGTGCGGAGAAAGACCACCCCGGGTGACATCGCTGTTGCAAAAAGGGGGGGGTTTCCGGTATTTGTTAATTAGGTCATGTCAACTGACATTGGCACATTTATATGATCTTTATGTTTGCCTTGCCAGGACACACAATATGATATGTTTTAAGCCAGGCTCGCTGGCAGACAACTGTAAATGTAAAAGGTTTTAGATGAAAAATAAATCAGCCTGCAGACATTTTCCTATGTTAAATAGGCGCATATCGTAGTGTATGTAATTGAGACATGCATAAACGGTTAGGTCTCACTGTCCCGATTCTAGCAATATATGGTTGCTAAGGGATTCGTTCAAAAACAAAAAAAGTTATGGCCGTAAAATGCAAACATTGAGTCATTTCATCTCACTGGGTCGCAGCCGGAAGCCATGTTTCACGGATTTCCACTACAATTTTTCTGTCGTGGTGTCCGCCACTTAAATGTTAATATCTCCGCTTAGAATCGACTTACAGGCTTAAATGAGGTACCATTGGATTTGTAATTTTAATTTTCATCTAGCTGTTACAATTTCGTAAGTAAAAACACAAAAAATAAAACTTCACTACCATCCCTAGTAAAAGAACTGGCTCCTTTTCTGTGTCCTTATTTTATAGATGAACTGGCACTTGATGTATGAGGTAGTCGCCAGCACTGTGGTGGCTGCCTTTACTTCTTAGGACCTTACCTGGTAACCATTCTAGGCTGGGTTAACCTAGGAGCCAAGGTCATTTAAGAAAAAAAGTGACTTGATGCGGATTTGATGCCACAACTTTCAGGCTCACAGGCTGAGTGTCTAGACGCTATACCATGCCATCTCCCTCTGTCCAGACTAACCCCATACAAATTCTTCTTCTTTTATTGTTCCCCATCTCTAAAACCCGACAGAAATTTCTGGTTGTTTGTCTACTTCTGGACTTTAGTCTTATTCCATATCTTGAGATCTGCATGCATATCCATTTTACATATCATCTGCTTATCTGTATGCAGACTGTTGATTCCTCACCTCTCAGGGGGATGCACTCTGTCTTTGATGGAAATGTCCTAAACTACTAGAATTTTACAACAAGCTGGGGCAGTGGGTCTATTTGTCTTTTTCTCCCACAATGGAGCTTTAGAACCCAAAACGGGAAGCAAAGATTATGAGAATTGCTGAATACCAATTTTATGAGGCAGGGTCAGTCCAAGATCTTATCTGCTGGTCATCCCCCCCGTCCTCTTGTAACATGATATGCTATATAGGTCTTGCATTTTATTCTTCCATAAGGGGGCTGCATGGTCTCAAGGCATGGTGTCTGTCTAGAGTGCTAGAGGTTCCAGGTTCAATCCCCGGTAAGAGCTGGGATTTTTTCACTTGGACTTCTAGTAATTACCGCTGGTCTCTGGGTAGTGAGATCAGTCGCCTGTGTGCATTGTTGCACATGTAAAAAAAATCCATTGGCAGTTGGAAATCGAAAAGACTAGCCTAATGGTGCTGCCCAGGCAAAATTGTGGAGTTGAAAATTAACCCAAAGTATTTCAGGATCCCCGCCGGTGCTACAGAGCCTTTGCACTGTGCTGAGCTTCTTCAGACTCAGACTTGAGTTAGAAAAAGAACAGAGCACTTATGGGTTACTACCTGTGTGCCATGATGTTGATCCGTTGTTCAAACTTCAGTCTTCCATACTGTTTTTAAGAAGATTAAAGGTTAAAGGTAAAGGGATTGACTTCATTGTGCTCGGTTTTTATACCATATAGTGTGGTCTCTCTCAGTAACATGTCTAGCTACCAGCCTAGAGTGTCCCACAAAGTACAAACCCTGCTGCCCTGATGGCGATCGCCAGTAATCTCCATAAAAACTGCACTCATGAACCAAACAGCTCAGCTGTAAAATGAACCCACAATCGTCTGAGCACGAGGCAACAGCTTGAACAACTTTGCCACGAAGACCCCCTTGGCCTCTGTGGCACAGACGGTTGGGCAACAGTCTCACAATCTAATCTGTTTCTATACTGTGCAACAGTTTTAATATCATGGATAGAATCCAATCCAGCACCTTTGGCCTCTCTCACCAACATTCATCTTTGGGTATTTTAGATGTTCTCATTTCCTTAATCTATGCATTTCCCACTTCAGTGCTTGTTTTGGTGATTCTGTCCCCTTCTTCTCAATACATGCCCAGTCTACTGCCATCTTTTTTGTCTTACAACTGTTTACACCTGTGTTTCCCAAACATTTCTTAGTCGCTGCGCCTCTTTTCAATTAACATTTTTCCGCAGCGCCCTAACCTAAGTAAAAGTATGGTTATTCGTATGTAAGAGATTTTTTTTTTAAAAACTTGTGTATCTTCAAATATTTCACAGGGCTCCTGTGAAGAGGTCGCGGATCTCTGGGGCGCCGCGGCGCACAGTTCGGGAATCACTGGTTTAAACAATACTGGAAACAGAAAACTGAAGTCAGTAAAGCCAGAGAGTCTTTTCCACATTCCTTTTCTCTCTCGCCTTTTCTTTTTCTTTCTCCTGCTCTAATTTTCGCACTCTCCTTTTCTTTCTTTTTCTATTGTTCTTGTTTTTTTTTCTCCCTATCTCTCTCTCTCTCTCTTGCTTTTTCTTCTCTCCATCTGTTTTTTCTCTCCCTCTTTCATTCTCCTTCTCTTGTTCTCTTTTTCTCTCTCCCTCCATCTTTTCCTTTCTCTAGCTCTCATTTTCTTTCTCCCTCTTTTTGTTTTGCTCTCCTTTTTCTCTCTTGTATCTATCTCTCTACCTCTTCTATTCTCCCCCCCCCCCCCCACCCCTTCCCTATCTCTAAACCCCAGATACTACCTGTGGGCTGCTTCCATTGTTTGATCCCAGTCCTGGAGAGCCAGCTGCAACTTCATCTTCTCCACAAATGCTGGCAGGAAGTTGACATGGCTGACGATCACCTGATTCATCATTTCCAAGGCCCCACTGTAGTTGTGACGCAGCTCAAAGTACTTGGCCTTGCCAAAAAGGGCACTAATATTTCTGGACCTGTCACTGAAATCACATGCAAGGAACACAAATTATAAACTCCATTTTCACTCCTAGAAGATCACAGCTGATGCCTGAGTTAAGTAATAATGATGACAGCAAAAGCATTGGTATACTCCATCCTTCAAGGCATATACCAAAAGCAGAGAGGGACGTAGAGAATCCCCAGGGTTCAAATACACATCACACTGAAGAGGGCGCAGGTTGGGGTGGGAGGGGGTGAACTTGTATTGCTGGATTAATTTAGTTTGCCTTTATAAACTTCAGATTTACAAATATGCAAAAATGTGTTGACTGGTGCATATGAGTAATATCCCGTACACATGGTTCGTTCTTTAGGACCAAAAGAGTTAAACACTTCAGCTCCCATGAACTCATTTTGTACTAACCAGACCTTCTGTGCTCGTTTTATATGTTTTTTTTAAAATGGAAAGTAATTGTGTTGTGCTTTTTTTTTTTCAGCAGAGCTGCGACACTTGGGACTTTTGGCTGAAAAACCAAATTCTTCTTCGGACATGTATTGACCCATGAAGTCTTTGCATTGTACTAAATAAATGTTTATGTAATGAAGCATCAGTTCATTTCCTTACCCTCAAAGGAGTGTTGATTATTATACTGGGATGGTGTAGGCGTTATAAGTGGCCCAATTATAACTTCTTTGGAGGCTGAACAGGGTATATGGGATATGCCCTGTTTGTCTGCCATCCAGACTGAGTTCTTATGCTCTCATGAAGGGCGGGAAACCTTCAAGTAGCAGTCTGGAGGGTATAAACAGCGAGCGCACACATATAACAGCCCTCTCAGTCAACACTAAACTCCAATCTGTATGTACCGTGTTTATAAATGATATCAAAAGGAAAATAGGGGTAGTGGCAGCTCTGGATTTTATTAGAAAACAATAAGTGAAAAGGTTTGGCCATATAACACGGATGCCAACAAACAGTATACCACAGCAAGCAATGATGTACAGAACAGGCGGGAAGCGAAGAAGAGCCCGACCATGGAAACGATGAACAAAGGGAATTACAAAGTCCCTGGGAATCCCCATTTAGAAAGCACACAAACAGGCACTTTTCCTAAATTATACTTCATCTCGACACCGCAAGGTACCAGAGTATCAAGATGAAATGAGGTGATGAAGATGGTGTGATTATTTTTCAGATTAAAATTGTGGGTCATCTTATAAGCAGAATGTGCTTTAAAATAGTTATTTTTTAGGTAAGGTTAAATTTAGTCTCCCCAAACACAGTGGGTCATGTTTCATTCATATGTTTGTTGGGCCGGTCTACTTTCCTGCAGGTTACGGATGTGCCGCTCTCTTGTTTGTTTTCTGGGTTGTCTTGCATTTACGTTTTTATTCCGAGAAAGAGAATGCCTGTGACACAGGTTACAGCTCTCTCTAGAAGGTTGTGTTAGACCCAGTTTGTCCATGTATTTGTAGTGTTAAAAGCGCTGGCGTGCTGAAATATAAAACACATGATATTAATGGCATTGCGGAACACCCCCCGTAACCTTGTGCCAAGGGCGCGTGGCTCAAGGTCTGGTAGTTTGAGTTTCAGCTTCATTGCAAACGGGTCAACCCATCTTTGCTCCGCTCCTGTGCCAACGAAATACACATAGAATGTTTATCACAGTCCCTTGTGGAAAGATTGACAAACTGCTGTCTCAGCATATCTAGCATACACTCGCATTAAAGCATACGGTAGCCATCCGAAGTGCTAACACAAACAGTCCAACATTAGAAATGCAGTTCATCATTGATGATAGCAGAACTTGTCGCCAACAGATCAGCAGTTGCCCATGCGATCAATTTTAATCACATACGGGCATCGCCAACATTGCACGACAGGCATCGCGCCATTTTCTGAATCTGCAATTCACACCACCACGTTGGTCACACTCGAAAAAACATTCCAAATGCAAACCGCAGCTCACAGTGTCACGTCATGCATTCAACTCAGAAGCTGTGCGACGAAACTATATCCAGTCTACGAATGGAGCAAAAATGCATCGGCCACCGTCCGGCAGAAGCAAAAAATTTGCCTTTGCTTCAAACAGTGCTGCTGCCTAGCGTCCATTTTAACCGGCGGCTCAAGGTCTACCAATCAGAAGTGAGCAGTGTGTTATGGGCAGTCCGTGGGAAGACAAACGTTAGTTTTACCATTTCTTCATTTTAGGTTAAAAAAAATGAAGATAACCTTCTACATGAGGCATCTTATACATAGGAGAATATAGTAATTACAAAGTTCGAGTAGTTCTGAAAATGATCAAGTTCATGAACAGAACTCTTTTCCAACGGCACAATTTCAAGAAGAACAAGTACCAAGTACTTACACTAGCGACTCCTCAAAATATTTGATAGCTTTCTTGGCCTCTCTGCCACTGTACAGCTCAATCCAGCCTTTCAGTGTAAGACCCTGTAACAACAACTGCTAAGGTAAACAACACATACAACAACTGGAAGGCAATGAAATAGCGGACAGATTGACCAGAAGCGGCAGTGACATGGTACAACCAAATAGCTACTTAACCCGCAAAGAGACAAAAACAATACAATCTAGTATCCAAGAAAGATGGCTGGATACACACACCAGATTCTCTTCCCAAGACTCGCTCCATCGCCTCTCTAGAGAGGGACAAAGTATTATATTTAGACTAAGGACTGGGCACAACAGACTTTGTCAACATATGTTCAAATTTTTCAATGTCGGAAAAACAGAGATGTGTCCCTGCAGCGTGGCAGCGGAACATGCTGAGCATGTGCTCCAACACTGTCAACTGTATACTGACAACAGAGAGGCAATCTGGCCTGTTTCAACCACAATGAAGATAAATCTGTATGGTACACGAGAGGATATGGACTGCACGATAGCTTTCATAAAGGGTACCTGCCTCCTGAAATAAGTTTTCTGACAGAAGGATTGAAGAAGAAGAAGAAAGAAGAATCAAATATGACACATAACTAAACCATTCAGGTAATTGTTTCTTAATGGATTTTCAAATCTGACCTAAGCTCCCAGCTCTAAGCTCCCAGCTCATCCCAGCCTAAAATGGATGTCAGGAATGTTCCGAGGAAGTAAATTTGGCCAGCATGATGCTGAGCACATACCAATCAAGAACTGACTGGTCAACAACAACAAATGTGAGAGTTACAAATTATGCTGAAGTCCCTAAAATGTGAAAGGGTTATTTATTTTACTTACTAACAGACAATTAAAATTAATCTAAATCTATCACCAGTAACCTATAAAGACCAAAAAATCTAAATGAAAATTTATTCAAACCTATCACCATTACCTTCAAAATAACAAATCGAAATTTATCTAACTTTATCACTATCACCCTAGAAAAACAATACACTAAATTAAAATGTATTCAAATTTATCATTATTAACCTACAAAAACAATAAATCTACACTATGTGTTACCTATAATTATCACCACTAACCTATAAAAACAATAAATTCTAAATTAAAATGTACCTACATTTACCACCATTGACCTACAAAAATCTAAATTTACATAAGTATTTCATCACTGACCTACAAAAATCTAAATTTACATAAGTATTTCATCGCTGACTTACAAAAATCTAAATTCACATAAGTATTTCATCGCTGACCTACAAAAATCTAAATTCACATAAGTATTTCATCACTGACCTACAAAAATCTAAATTTACATAAGTATTTCATCACTGACTTACAAAAATCTAAATTTACATAAGTATTTCATCACTGACTTACAAAAATCTAAATTCACATAAGTATTTCATCACTGACCTACAAAAACGATAAATTTAATTTTACCTTAATGTTCACCCTAAGCTTACCACACAAAAAATAAACATTTGTCTAAATGTATTACAATTAACCTCTAAAAACAATCAATCTACAGTTGAATTTACATAAAAGTATCACCATTAAACTGGACCCTAGATTTAATAAATAGTATGCAATTCTATTCCAACACAAAAGCACAAAGAAAGACTTTTATTGTGAACTCACGCAATAAATTCACACAACTGTGAACTCACGCAATAAATTCACACAACATGTGAAGGCATGCAACTTGTGAACACATGCATGTTGTGAATGCATGCAACTTGTGAACACATGCAACTTGTGAACATACGCAAATTGTGAACGCATGCAACTTGTGAACGCATGCAACTTGTGAACACATGTATATTGTGAACGCATGCAACTTGTGAACATATGCAACTTGTGAACACATGCAATGTGTGAATGCATGCAACATGTGAACACATGCAACATGTGAATGCATGCAACATGTGAACCCATGCAACATGTGAATGTATGCAACATGTAAACGCATGCAACATGTGAACAGATGCAACATGTGAATACATGCAACATGTGAATACATGCAACATGTGAGCGCATGCAACATGTGAACCCATGCAACATGTGAACGTATGCAACATGTAAACGCATGCAACATGTGAACGCATGCAACATGTGAACAGATGCAACATGTGAACGCATGCAACATGTGAACGTAGGCAACATGTGAATGCATGCAACATGTTAACGTATGCAGAATGTTAACTCGCACAATATTTAACGTCTAGCAATGTTCACATGCACCTACGGTAAACGCATGCAATGCATGAACTTTTACAATATGTAAACTCACACAATATGTCAATTTATACAATATGTGAACTTATTTTATATGTGAACTAATGCAATATGTGAACTCAAGGAATATGTTAACTCAATACAACATGGGAACTTACACAATATGTGAACTGACGCAATATGTGAACTCAATACAACATAGGAACTGACACAATATGTGAACTAAATGCAATATATAAAACAATATATAAATTCATATAGTGTGAAGTGAATTAAAACGTGGGAGCTGCAGCATTGTAGCTGTTAGCCTCTCACCTGGCAATAGGAAGGACTTGAGTTGAATTTTTATTAAGTCAAATTTTTCTTTAAGAAATTGACTTTTGCTCCCAGGACTACAGAGCCTAAAATGGGCGCAAGGTAATGTCCTGGGAAATAAGGCAGCAGCCCACCAACCCCCCCCCCCTCCCAGTGTGCTGATTAGTTTTTATTCCAGAACCTGAGTGTTAATGCACATCATTTTAACAGATATGACTTTTTTTGTATGCAGATTGTTGGTTCATTGCCTCTCAGGCAGATACACTCCGACTTTAAAGGAAGCCACCAATTAGTTGACTCCTATGACAGGCTTGTTGGGGAGGCAGTGGGTCTATTCTTGCTTTCCCACAATGGGGCCCCGGAACCCACACAGGGAGGTCAGCATTCAAGAGGTGCCCGCACATGTTACTAGAAGTCACATTACAGCAAGATGGCTATGTTGATTCAATGGATCAACATCATGGCACACGAGTGTAACTCATAAGTACTCCGTTCTTCTTCTTATTCAAGCCTGAGTCTGAAGAATCACAGCACAGTGCATCGGTGAGGATCCTGATATACTTTACGTAGATTTTTAACTACAAATTTTGCCCGGGCAGCACCGTTAGGCTACTCGTTTTAATTTTCAACAGCCAAGAGATTTTTCACGTGTGCAACAATACACATGGATGTCTGGTCTCACTACCCAGAGACCAGAGGAAATTACTAGAAGTCCACGTTAAAAAATCCCAGCCCTCACCGGGACTTTAACCTGGGACATCTAGCACTCGAGGCGGTCTAGAGATCAAGCGGACCCCTACTGAAAGTGTAAGTGCAAACACAAATAAAAGCTGTTATACTGCTGTCCGTACACACAATTAAAAGCTGTTATACTGCTGTCCATACACACAATTAAAAGCTGTTATACTGCTGTTACACACAAACAATAAAATATGTTACATTATTCTAACAAAGCTGTTGTGGTGTAGAGGCGATGCTTGCCTGCGGATCCAAAGGTCGTGGGCTCAAAAAATGACCTTGGCTCCCAGGTCAACCCAGCTTTGAATGGGTACCAGGTCCCACTAAATGCCCAGTAAGCCTAATGGCATGGAAATGGGCCCTTTAGAAGTTTGAACTTTAAAGGGCAAATTTCCACGGGGCCCTTTAGGGGAAATGGGCCCTATACTTTACATAAATATTACTGCAAACATTAACATAACTGCAAACATTATTATTACTGCAAAGATTAACATTACTGCAAACATTAACATTATGGAAACATAAATATTGCTGCAAATGTAAGTAAGTATAAGTGCACAAACGCTCATTATTTGTTGATATATTACTGACAATTTGATTACACACACACACACACACAATTTAATAAATGTTATATTACTGTATTTGTAAGTATACACACACAATTTAATAAATGTTATATTACTGTATTTGTAAGTATACACACAATTTAATAAATGTTATATTACTGTAATTGTAAGTATACACACACAATTTAATAAATGTTATATTACAGTAATTGTAAGTATACACACACAACCACACATACTAAATGTTGTTATACAAGGTAAAGTAAAGGACCCTTTTCCACCCGTTCAGGTGCACGGGAATATAGGGCTAGACCTATATTTTATAGACCAGTCTGCACTCAGTGGGTGATGTGGTCAGCCGCCTTTACTTCCCATGACTGCACCTGGTACCCACTCAAGGCTGGGTCAACCTGGAGCCAAGGTCATTAAAATAATGTAAAAAAACAAAGTCAGGCTCCATCAGGACCCATATCCCCTGACCTTCCGATCCGCAAGCCAGTGTCTAGCCACTACACCACTCCCACTGTGTAATTACACACACAACCACACGCACTTAACAGATATGACTTTACTTCACAAACTTTACTAGATGTTGCATTATACTGTAAGTGCATGCAAATATTAATGGATCTTACATTACAGCATGTATTAATAAATGTTACATTTTTGTATGTTCCACTTGTGTGGGTTCCTGAGCCCAATGTGGGGGTGGGGAAACAGAATGGACCCACTCCCTCCACCCTCCTCGTCAAGTATGATTAAATAGGGGTGTTTCCTTTGAAGTCAGAGTACATCTGCCTGAGAAGCGAGAAACCAACAGTCTGCGTACAAATAAGCCAGATCTGAGCTTGTTCTGAAACAAGAATGAAGTCCAGAAACAGATAATTAACTAGAACTTTCTGTCACAGTTTACAGATGCTGAACACACACACACACACACACACACACAAATGATGTTTGTGCAAGTGCACACACACACACACATTAACCAATGTTGCTTTACTGTTCAAACATGACTAGATGATGCATTATTGTAAGTGCATGCAAACACATGTTACACCACACGTTACATTACCACAGATGCGTGTGCATTTAAAGGATGTTAAATTAGCATAGTTTTACCAATTTTATTCTTCTTCTTCATCCATCATATTCTTCTTCTTAGCATTCACTGATGTAAACTCCAGCCAACAGTTCTGATAGTTTGTCCATTCTGGTCTTGCTCAAGAACTTTTAAATTTTGCATGCAGATCCCCCTTTACAGATCTGGCTTAGTTATATGCTGACTGTTGGTTCCTTGCCTCTCCATCAGATGCACTCTGACTTCCAAGGAAACACCCATAATTGTTTACACTGTAAACTGTTGAGGAGTGGGGTTGGGGAAGGGGGGGGGCAGCGGGTCTTTTTTTTTCTTCCTAAAATGGGATCCTGGAACCCACATAGGGACTTCATACATTTGAAAATGCAAATCCTCTCCCCCCCCCCCTACCTCAAAAATCCTCTGCTGTATTAGTTTAGCTGCCTACCCAAAAGCATGTTGTAAGAGTCGACTAACTGGGAGCTTCCTTCAAAGTCGAAGTGCATCTGCCTGAGAGGTGAAGAACCAACAGTCTGCATACACATTAGTCAGATCTGTCAAACTGATGCACACGCAAAACTCAAGTTCTGTAACTGGACTGCAGTCCAGAAGTGGACGAACAATCACAACTTTCCACCAGAGTTTACAGCTGGTGAATGCAAAGAAGAAGAAGTTTAGCTTCCACTCTTTGTTTACAAAAACAAAATCATATTTTTGAACAACCCAGAAACTGACTCAATAAAACCCCTGCTTAAACACTGAGTTTAAACACATGGACATACCAACTGTCTAGACAGACTCTGAAAAATAAAAGAAAGCAGACATTTTCTGATAGTAAAGGTAGTTAGCACCTTTCTGTCTTACCTGATGATACCAATATTTTGTGGCAACGGAGGCATGGGAATCACAGGCCATGTCGAGTGCAACTAAGACGAGCCAGTTTGGGTTTAGAAAAGTCCGTCGCAATAAATGCATGGGATTTCAGGACCACAGCTTCCAAAACATTAATTTAAGGTGCAGTGGTTTTTACAGCTTGCAATTTAGATTCTTATTATTTTCATGAAGGTTTTGATCTTCACTGTATGTGTGGACAGACATGATTAAATGTTCTATTCCCTTTACTCTGGCTGAAAGTAGGACTGTAGTGTAGGACTGTACCGGACTGTATCGTAAGCATAGCAAAGTTCAGGAATCAGGTTGCCAGAATTCAGATTCTGTCCTAGCTGGAAGTACTCACTGAATCATACAGGGTGTGGCAGATCAACTGATTGGCTGGGGGCTGCCAAGCTTGAGGTGTGGCAGTAGCTATCAGTGATTTTCAGCTACCGAATTGGACTTCGGGTCAATGTGGAGGATAGGCAGGTTTAAATTTTTGCTCCAAACTATAGCTGGCCATTGCATTTTCCTCCAAATGTAGACTGAAAGAATTTAGTTCCATCACCCAGCTACCGAGTTGAGTACTGTGAGCTGGGGATTTCATTTGGAATGTTTTTGACTGTGCTGTATTCCACAGTTGTGGATTTGAAGCTGTATGATAGACATGCCAACAAAGACACTTTTTTGTGGGGGTGTCTATTGACTGTGCTCTTAGAACGCTTGTTTCCATAGCAAGGTGCACACACCATCTGGAGGTTACAGGTTCGATTCCCAGCACTGTAACAATAGCTTTCAATTTTTATGTTGTCTAGTATGTCTTTCTACTTCTTTCTATGAGTGCCAATCAATACCTTGTCTCTTTGTTAATTATATATATAGAATGTTTATTAGCCAATCTTCCTTGATGTTCAAATCTTTTAAAATGTCCGTATTTCTTCTCTTCCTTGCCCATGGTATTCAGGGAATCTTTATATAGCATTTCAACTCAAAAGCCCCTGTTTTCTTTCTTAAGGACTGGGAGAGAGCCCACGACTCACATCTGTATGTTGCTCCAGGGAAGATGCATGCTCTCAAAATTTTAATTTTGATTTCCTTAAAAATTATTTGTTTATACACCTTATCAAATTCATCTCTCTTATCTTATAGAAATGATGAATGATTTAATAATACCTCATCTGCCGATAAACAGATTTTGTATCTTCTCTATCCACAATTGGGCGCATCATTCGGTTCACAAGTGTAGTTTTTATAGAAATCTACCAGGATCGGAGCTGAACCTAAGGAGTTTGTGCTTTATACAATATTCCTGGCAGCCGGCCAGCCATTCTGTGGAAAACGACTGAGCTAAAGGGGATATATCTGGGGCAATGAAGTCGACCCTCTCAACTTCAACTCTATTCCTTTGAGGCCCAAGCAATGGATACATCAGCAACAACGAAGTTGATCCTCTGAACTTCAACTCTATTTCTTTCAGTCCCAAGCAACAGATACATCTGAGCAATGAAGTTGATCGACTCAACTTTAATTTCAACTCCTTGAGACGCAAATAATGCTTATTTTGAAAGCAAAACATTCACGATCTGGCACCATGATTATTTCATCATTTTGGTATCTCCTGTGCAAACCTTCTGGTAAGAGTTGAGTTGATTCAAGAACCGACATGACAGCACTCGGGGCATTTCCACAAGCGCTCCATCCCCATCTCCAGCAGCCAGTGAAGAGTTCCGATACTAATGGTGCCAGTAGCACTCTAATTGCCTTCTGGTAATGAAAGAGTTAACTTTGACCATAATATTCTTAAAATTCTTTAAAAAAAAAAAACTGACCACATCGGCACAGCCTAAATATAAATATCATTTGCTTTCTGGACTATTGTAATAAACACTTTATGATGTGTAATAGCAGTTGTTTAGCCTTCACAGAATGTTGCAAAACCAACACCAGCATTGTTTGGCTGTTGTGGTTTTTCTAGGCAAATTTTACGTTCAGTAGTCTGCCACTGCTTTCTGAATGGTCAGCTTTTGGTACTACTGTCAAAACCAACACAAGACAAACCTGTCAGCAGCTGGGATCGAACCCAGCACCGCCCAAGCCACACACACCGACTTGTGGTGAGTACCAGTACGTTTTCTAGAAAAGAAAAAAATGCCCCAAATACAATTCAACTAAAACTTACATCTGCATTCTGTGGTGCCAGCTTCAGCATTCTGTCAATGTATTCTCTGGCCTTGTCATATTTGCCCGTGTTGGCCAAGAAAAGACCAGCAAAGTACAAACCCTGTCAACAGAATGTTTTGCTAAATAAATCAAACTGTGTGTGTTTAGTTGCATCAGTTGGACTAAGTCGCCACCCTTCCAGTCCAAGTCATTGCCATGAAGTTCTAAGTCATCGTTGTCCCAAGTCATTGCCACATAGTCCCCAGTCAAGTCTCAAGTTACCAAGAGTGTTTCCAAGTCAAGTCCCAGTCAAGTCCCTTCATGTTTCAAGTCATGCATGGAATAATGTTTATAGATCAATCAAATATGGCCGGGGGAAAGATCGGAAATTGCAGTGCAAAAAAAAAAAATTAATAACTATAGAGAAAATGTTAACAGTAATCGTCCAGCAGTGAAATGTATCTACGTGTACGATATTTGCAGACTTTGAATACATTACGGTAGCACTGTGTTGCGTGGAGTTTTAAAAATAACAACCTGAATAAACACTGTGATACTGCCATGGTGCTTGAAATGACCAAATATTTCAGCTTCTAAGACAAGATACTGTTTACCAGCCAATCTTCCTTGATGTTCAGATATTTTAGACAATCAGTATTTCTTTTCTTCTTTGTCCATGGTACTTGAGAATCTTTCTATAGCATTTCAGCTTAAAAACCCCTATTTTCTTCTTTAAGGCCAGGGAGATAGTCCACGAATCACATCCGTATGTTGCTACAGGGAAGATGCATGTTCTCAAAATAAAAAGGAATATTTATATTAATAAAAAAATTAACTTCAGACCCGAAACGAATGTCAAACGTACCAATTCCCCTGCCTGCTTCCGTTCCTCCTTTAGTTTGGCATCTAACTGCTGGATGGCTTCTCGATCTGTTGAATGTCATTTTATGCAATGAGATCACAAACAACGTGCTGGCTGGCATATTTCATTTAAATTTTTTTAATTCTTTTCATCTTCTTCTTCATGTTCACCAGCTGTAAACTCCAGCAGAAAGTTCTGGTTGTTAGCTGACCTCTGGAATTTAGTCTTGTGCCAGAACCGGAGTGTTGCGTGCACATCCATTTTACACATTTAGCTTATCTGTATAAGAAGATGGACACAGGATATAAGTGACTCCTTCAGTATGTAAGTACATGAGGTGGGAGAGCTGGCGAGAGGCCGAGTCTCTTTCAGGCAGAGTGTGATGAGAGCGACGTTCTGCTAAGGACCTGCTACATGATGATAATGATGTATGCATTCTGCTGGTTCCTTGCCATTCAAGCATATCCACTCAGACCTTGAACTAAACCTCCCAGTTAATCATCTTTTACAACATGCTTTTTGGGGATCAGATATAATATTTGTTTATGCTGGCAAAGACAATAACAACAAACAAAAGCAATTTGGAGGACAGAAAATGACTACTATAGATGCTAGTAAAGTTACCAAACAAGCAATCTTTAGCATGGAAACTGACTCAAATTACCATTTAAAATGCAGGCAAAGACAACAGCAACAAAAAAGTAATCTTACTTGAAAAGATATATTCTTTACCAGCTAGCAGGATCTGTGAGAAGTTCTTCCTTGTTAGAACACACTGAAGTTAAGAGCACATACTAAAAGGACATATATTTCACTCCTCAGTGAACACTCCCCAATCAAGTTCTGCGATTTGGAGGGACGATGGACATTCTTACTAATCCTACAAGTAGTATACCTATATACTCCTCAAGAAAAAAAAATACTGAATACTTTCAACCATGCACTGTATGAGACGCACTCTTGGTGTATCATAGTCAGATTTTGTCCCCAGTGAATGTGTACTCAAAAGAGCAGGCCTGCCAATAATGTACTTTCTACTGAAGCAAAGATGCCAGCGTTGGCAGGGACATGTCCCTCGCATGTAGGTCGGTCCAAAGGACCTCCTGTATGGTGAACCAGTTGCATGGATAAGAGCTGCGGGAAGGTCAAAGCTACACTTTAAGGTCATTTGCAAATGCATCCTGAAAGATATCAACACTGACACAGAGAGAAATCAGCTGCAGACTGACTCCTTTAGAGGTAGATAGTATAAGACAGACTGTCAGTTTGACAGAGGTCAAATGCAACAAGCCATAGAGAGGAAACCTCTGAGAAAAAACCAGCATTAAAACGACAGAGTATCAACGTTTTTATGTGGACTATGTGACAGAGACTGCCACTTCCACACTGGACTTGACAATCCTAGCAGATGCTGCCCCTAAAACCAGCGGCGCAGCTCCATGGCCCCCCAGGGACTGATGGTTGCCTACAATGTAACTAATTACTGGAGGTTTTGCTGAAACCGGATGTGCTGGGCCAGAAGACATGGGTAATGTCACCCAGATCTAACAACACAGCTGTGCCAACCCGTCCTTTTAAGAGGTTAACAAACAAGAAGAAGAAATAGCAAACACTGTTTACACCCCCATCTTAAATATACAAATGTGAAACCCGGATAATACAAAAAAGCAAACCCATTGTCTGAGCTTTCTTGTGTGCAAACATCAAAGCCATGGTGGAACAAAGGTTGACATCTCGTTTGTCCTTGAGAAGCTCTAGTTCTCTCATGCCTTCTTGTACTCGATCTGAAAGCACATATTTTTTAATTCCTGAACTTAATTCCAAGAAGACATAACTTTAACTTGCAATGTCCTACATATCTGTTATGTAACCCTTTCATCCTGGTGACCTAGAAAAACACAGCCAATGACCTGTATTTTAGGAATTCCTGTAGAAAATTCCTTTTTTTTTTTTTAAATACCCAGACACCATGAGCTGTACTATGTATATCGCAACCTTTTGGCCTTGATTCCATGACAGGTATCGTAAATCTGGGAGAAATGCGGTTTTTCTGTGAACCCAGACCTTCTTGCCCAATAGCCACGAAGTCAGGTTTAACTGACTACTGGAGCAGGCCGGGCTTTAAAAAAAAATATCTTTTAAAAAAACATTTTACACATATCACCAAATAATCCTGACAATTCCATTTGTGGACTAAAACAACATTAATGTCCATAGAGAACAAGCGGAGTATAGGTAAACGCTGAATGCAGCAGAAAATTAGCTGACTTGCCTTTCTTTATACCATGACTGATACTTGACCCTCTAACAGGGTCACCGCTTGTGGTAACGAACAATTATGATGTCATAATTTCTATTTAAAAAGCCATCTGTTCATAAGACCCCTGCCCCCCAAAAAACCTGAAAGCTATTTTTAGGACACATAAACATTCCCGGTGCTATAGAAACTTTGCAAAGATACAGATGATACCAATGTCGTTACCTATGATTTTTATGAACCGGCCACTACAGCAAGTCGGTAAAATGACATTTATGGAGGAGTGGAACGAGCCACAAGTGTCAATTTTGTAGCTTCTCGAGGCGACTGGGTTCAAGCAGGATAAGCCTGGATCTTCTTCTCTTCTTCTTTGCGTTCACCGGCTGTAAACTTCAGTGGAAAGTTCTTGTTGTTTGTCCACTTCTGAACTTTAGTCTTCTTCTCCTGTTCCAAAACTTAAGCTTAGCATGCACATCTGTTTTACAAATCTGGCTTGTTTTTATGCAGACAGTTAATTCCTTACCTCCCAGGCAGATGCACTCCATCTTCAAAGGAAACCCCTAATTAGTCTACTCTTGCTACATGCTTGATAGGGAGGCAGTGGCTCTACCCCCCTCCCCCCAACGGAACACAGAACACACAAGGGAAAGTCTGGATCTGAACAGGCCCAGATAATATTATTATAGGTCAAAACAAATTATATCAGAAAGTGGGACGCAATGGGTTAACCCCAACACCTTGAGAAGTCTAATTTAGTCGCTTCTGCCAATAAATCTGTATTTCTGCAATAGCCTGTTCTCGTAAAGTTAAACAATGCCACTGATTCTACCTGCATCTATGTAGGGTTTCAGAAGCCTGGACGTGAATATATTAACTAAATGTAGCATTCAGTGAAGTTCTCTTGGGAAATCAATAGATTTGCTAAAAGCCAAACTGGCTTAACATTTTCCTGTCCAGTCAATCAAATTCTGCAACCAAATCTTTCTTGGTCTGCCTCTTCTCCTCTACTGCGACTATAGTATTGTTTCGGAGAGACCGTTAGATCTTATTACATGTCCGTCTGATTGCATTTTCTCTCTTATCATCGTAGTTAACTCTTTGAGTCCCAAGGAACGCATCATACATTCATAGATTCCAACCTAGAGGCCCAATGAACACATGATGCGCCGATTTTATGTCTCTCTTGACTACCCCTTGGGCCTGTGATGCTAAAAACCCCTGGGACTCAAAAGAGTTAAGAGGTTCATAGTTGCCAGTGTGCTGTTTTATTCAACGGCGAACTTCATTTGTGATGTGGTCTCTGAATGATATGTCAAGAATTGCAAGATTTGTTGTTGTTGTTGTAAAATCTTATTTCTAATGCTTGTATCTCTTTTAAGTTGTATAACACATAACTACAGCGGGGCATCCTAAGGCCACAAAATAACCTGCTGTAATTGTGGCCAGGTGAGAATATTTCTGTAGTTAACTCTTTTGTCCCCCAAGTACTGCATCATGTCTGATAAACCCCTTTTCACAAATCTTAATCATCATGCAATGCGTTCACTTACTCTTTTGCATTTGGTCTTAGAACACTAAAGAAATCTGGCATTCCAGTTGCCTTTTTAGACAGTAGTGGTTTCTCTCCTTAGCAACTGGGACTGAAAGGGCTTAGAGGAATTGAAGTGTAAAACAACTTTCCTGAATCTTCAATGGACCCAATGGAATATTTTTGCTTGTGAGTCTATTCTATTTTTCCCCTCTAGAAATGGGGGTCCGGGAACCCACACAAGGAAAACTACCTTGGAAACATAAGACATAAATTCACATTTCAGAGTTCCATACTTTGTAATACTTTGGCCAAAGCCACAAAAAACTTGAGAACTAGGTCGTTGCCATAGCGCTGCAAGCCTTCAAGAGCTGCTGCCTCCATGTGACCATAGTAACCAGCCTGGCAATAGTAGGTGATTTTTGTCTGTGAAGGAAAAAATACAGGAGGTAATTTAATTTAGGTCAACATATTGGTCCAGTTCACATTTCTCGGCCTATCAACACACTGGCAGACTTTTCATTCATACTTTCTCAGACTCTTTTACGTCGTAGGGGTGTCACGTTGTCTTCCGTCCAAATACATCAGATGTTGCATGTTCTATACTTCACGATGACACAGCTTTCAACGACCCCAGAACATCTAGAACTGGCAGTAACTCAAATTACCCCTACCAACAGCCCAAGCCTAGGTTATACGAGAGACTCTTTTCGAAGAAAGCAGTACAACGTGACACCTCTCTGACCTAGATAAGATAAGAAAGTGTACAGATGGGCTGGGAAAAGTCAACAGGTCCAAAATATTTGTCAAATACCAACTGTCACAAATTTTAAGACATCCAAACATAACTATAACTGCAAAAAAAAATAATTAAAAAAAAGAGATTACAAACGGCACATTTATTCCCACACTGACAGACGAGATTCATTAAAAAAGCCACTTATCTCACCTACCAAGATTGAGTGAATAATGATATTCTCAGACAGGTTGTGGGAACAACACCTTGTACTAGACTGATCGAGAAACTACACTTCAAGTGGTTTGGCAATCTTGTTAGAATGCAGCAACATCAAATACCATCACAGGCACTAGATCTCAGAAGATCAGCTACAAGAGCAAGAGAACAGCCACAACAAACATAGATTGACAATATTCAAGACACTTTCAGTCACCAAGGCATGACAATAGCAACTGCCAATTATTATTCCCAGGATACTTAACAGCAAAAATGGTTTACAATGATGATTTTTATTAAAGCAATGATTTTGTGTTGCAGGTTTGAAAATAGAAGACAAAACACATACAGACACAAAACAGACAGTACAGTTGATTAAATTTCAAATTTTGTTACAACTTGTCGGGTGCACACTGCAGAAATAAAATCAGGCAAACTGCAAGACTACAAAATACCAGATAATTCCAATATCATGTTAGAAAACTAGTGAACTTCTTGTCACACACCAATTATCTCTCTCTCTTTAAACTGGAATGTGGTTTAAAGCATAAAATATAGAATTAATGTGAGCTTTACTAAGCTAATAAGTGATTGTCTGAAAACAATGTGGACGCTGAATTAGTGAATAATCTTCTTCATGCAAATCAGTCAGCTAGCACAAAATAAATATACGTCTTCGTTCTAATTCTGACGATAAAAATGGTGCTTAGGTGCTAATAATCGTAAAAACTACATACATATAAAACGGTTTACATACCAGAGTAACTGGGTCCGATTCTGCCATTTTTATTATTACTGTTTTAATAACAGATCGACTTTAAAAACAAATACAAATTGTCCAAAGCTTGGGTAGAATGTCTCAGTGTTTACACCCGTTGCTACATCGGTAGGCCATCTTGCAGGGACAAAATATAGCCAGTGCGCAAGACAGGAACTTATTTTAACGGGCTTACTATCATCATCATCCCCAGGATATAGTTGCGTGAGTGTGAGTGTGTGTGTGTGCGAGTGTGTGTGTGTTTTATTTTTTATTTTCAATTACAGCCCGACCCCGACTAGACTTAGGTTACTTCCTAACTGCCGAGAGCCCTAATATATCCTTTTAGTTGAACCAGGTTTCTGGGACTTGTGCATGGGGGTTTCTCATCCGAATGGTGGCACTTTGTGTCACTTGATCTTAATAGTTTATTGCGCGGTGCTAGTGGGGTCCAAAACACTACGTCACTCGTGAGTCATCATGCCTCTACACCAGAGCTATTCAACTGGCGGCCCGCGGGTCAAATCTGGCCCGCGAAAACCTAGCAAGTGGCCCGCTGATCATTGCCAGTTGTTTTATATTAATCATTGTCTATGCTTGAGCTCAGGCATCTGGCCCGTTATAATCCGCGTTTTCAAAATTTTGGCCCTTTGATAAACTTAGTTGAAACTTAGTTGAATAGCCCTGCTCTACACAATCTACAATCTTCGACAGCATGCATCATTTCACGCTGCCTCCTCTTGTCTCCTTTTCCCCCACAGATCTTTCCATTGATTTCTTTAGGGTACTCTTAATCAGGTGCAATAGCAATGCCACAAAGTTACCCCTCCCCCACCCCCATCATACGCATTTTTAAGTAAAAACCTCAAACTATCGACCCCCCCCCCCCTCTCCCCCAGTCAATTACATTTTTAAAGTAAATGTTAAAATATAAGCATTAAAAAAAAAGAATTAAGAAGACGTTTGTAAGTGGGGGAGGGGGAGGAGCTGGTCTATTTTGGAGGTGCTTATAACGAACTTGTCAGTACGTGAGAATTCCTTCCCCTCCCATTCATACCACGGCCAGTAACACGGCCTATCCTATACTGTGGGGGTGTCATGTATTTTTTTTTTTTTTAAACGGTTTAACCACTCTATATTTCCTCGTGTTGTCACCGCTCACTTGCGTGATTATTTGCACGTTGTGCTATTTTCCAGACGGTTCGTAGGTATCGAAACTGGGATATTTCCACGTTCTTTGTCAGTGACTACTTTTTCTGGGGGGGAAATCACCACCAAGAAACTTTGAAATACAAAAACCTCCCTGTTTCGATCCTCACGAACAGTCGCGCTCTCGGTGCTTCCCCCTGCAGTACTTCTTACTTGTACACAGGCACCTACGGCGCCTCAGAGAGATTCCCAGAAACACAACCTCCCACAAGCATTATATACAGCGAGCGAACGTCGAATGAAGCCATCTCATAACATAACATTCCCACAACATAGGACAGATCATTCGACCGGCTGCAGCATGAATGGGAAGGGAAGGAACTCTCTCCGTGCGGGAAATTCGTGATAAGTTCCTTATTTCTCTCTCTCTCTCTCTCTCTCTCTCTCTCTCTCTCTCTCTCTCTCTCTCTCTCTCTCTCTCTCTCTCTCTCTCTCTCTCTCGCTCGCTCTTGCAAATGGAACGCCCAAAACACACACGGGGAATTGTATGGTTTACATTTTGACTGAGCATACTACACAAACCTGGCTAGATATCGTAAAATGTAGCACTGTTCTTTAGAATATCATAGATTAAAAAGACCAAGAAGTTGATGGAGAGATAATGACCAGCGAGACCTGCAAACACTTAGTGTTACCAGCCGGAAAGAGAAAGCCAACCAGAGAGATGAGTGGAGGCGGGTGATAACTGCAGCAATGAACCTCAAGGACTCGGAATGCTGAAGAAGGCCAACCAGAGAGGTGAGTGGAGGCGGGTAATATCTACAGCAATGAACCTGAAGAGCTCGGAACGCTTAAGAAGAGGAAGAGAGAAGGAGGAGGAGGAGAAGAAGAGGAAGAAGAAGAAGAAGAAGATAGACCAAAATAAAGAAAAACAAACAGCATCCTGCATGTTATGAGCATCGATGAGAACAGACTCATAAACAGCATCCTATCCCTAAAGTTGGGGTATTATGGCCTTGTTAAATGTCACGAGGAAAGGAGGGGGGATTGTGGAGGGGGGGGGGGGGGAGCTCGAGAGAACGATGATTAAGGGTACAGTTTTCGGAAAACAAAGCAGAGTCAGACCTTTACGAAAGTGATTCGTCGTCGTAATCATCATTATCATCAGCATCATCATCACCATCATTATGTGCCTTGCCGACTGGCGAATCCAATCCTACCTCTCCATAATCCGTAACTGCGTGTATCAGTTCGTGTGTTGACACCCCTACATTCCATAACCCCACCCCCAACCCCCCACCCCCAAAGTAAAAAGATCACTTTTCCACGCCTTTAGGCGTATTGGAGTTTAGGGCAAAACCTATATTTTTATAGACCATTAAGCACTTGATAGGGGATTTGGTCAGCATCACGCCGGCCGCCTTTACTTACCAGGACTGTACCTGGTACCCAGTCAAGGCTGGCTCGATCTGGGAGTCAAGGTCATTTTTTAAGATAAAAAAAGTCCGGCTCCATCAAGACGCGAACCCACGACCTTCCGATCCGCAGGTGGGTGTCTAGCTGCTACGCCACGGCGTCTCCCATAGCATATCAAAAGGCTGTCAAGAATATTCTCGCGTTGTCTTCCCCTGTCTCTCTTTCCACGGATCTTTCCAGTGGTCACAACCTGTTCCATTTTCCCTCTTCTCATAACATTACTAATTAATTACGACTGTCTCTTTTCTGATGTTTGTGATAAGGTGTCTTCAAGCTGAGTACAAGAAATTAAAGATGTAACGGCTGTGAAATCACTAACGGCTGTGAAATCACGTAACAGCTGTGAAAGCACAAAACGTCTGTGAAAGCACGCAGCGATTGTAAAAGAACGTAGCGGCTGTGAAAGCAGACAGCGACTGTGAAAGCACGTAACGACTGTGAAATCACGTAACGGCTGTGAAAGCATGCAGCGGTTGTGAAAGCACGCAACGATTGCGAAAGCACTTAACGGCTGTGAAAGCACGCAGCGGCTGTAAAAGCACGTAACGGCTGTGAAAGCACGTAACGATTGTGAAAGCACGCAACGGCTGTGAAAGCACGCAACAGCTTTAAAAGCACGCAGCGGCTGTGAAAGCACGCAACGGCTGTGAAAGCACGAAAGCGGCTGTAGAAGTGAATAGAGGAAGCGAGATTTTCATGCATGCCGTGAGGAGAGCGACGTTTTGTAGAGGACCTGTTCATTGAATATAATGAGCGATCTCTTCTTCTTCTTCTTCTTCTTCTTCTTCTTCTTCTTCTTCTTCTTCTTCTTCTTCTTCTTCTTCTTCTTCTTCTTCTTCTTCTTCTTCTTCTTCTTCTTCTTCTTCTTCTTCTTCTTCTTCTTCTTCTTCGCGTTCACCGGCTGTAAGCTCCAATGGAAAGTTCTGGTTGTTCGTCTACTTTTTGACTCTAGTCCTGTTCCAGAACCTGAGTGTTGCGTGTACATCCGTTTCACAGGTCTGACTCATTTTGTATTCAGACTGTTGGTTGATGCCTCTCAGACAGATGTACTCCGACTTCGAAGGAAGCTCCTAATTGGTACGACATGCTTTTGGCCAGGCAGTGGGTCTTTTCTTGTTTTCCCCCACAATTGGGATCCGGAACCCACACGGGAAATGATGAGCGATGTAAACTGATGCCTTTCTAGATGTTACAGGCCCATGCTTTCTTATTGTGGGTACTAACATACATCTCTAACAACATTTCAGGTACTGCAAGAGTTTACATCTACGTTAACAAGTCGAAACATATCACTGAAATGTCTGGGATATACCTCAACTTACCAATAAGTGATTGTATTATTGTTTGTAGTTGTATCACTGACCGTTTGTGTAATATGCTGATGAAGGATTTCTAGCCGCAAAATTTGTCGTTCGTGATTGAGATAATGTGAATCCGACTAGTTCTGACTAGCTCGTTTGATTTGCTATCTTTTCAAGGTACGAATTATGTAGGCTTGTCGCCTTTAAATTTTGTTTTCTTGTACACCGTTTGATAAATTACTTAGTATAGAACGAACTAACTTCTATTGTGAAGAACCACGAAAGTGCAAGTTGTTTTTAAATAAGTTGCACTGTTAACTGTAGATTACCTTTTGCTTAAAATTTGCCTCTGACGTCCGTACAAATAGCCGGTGGCTCCGTTACTTTATATGTTTCTAGAGCGAAGTACCTGGAGAAGAAATTAGCAATTCGCGTTGATAGGCTATTATGAACTTTGGTAAACAGTTTAACTGTTAATGGAAAATGGAAGTGTGGCTACGGATGTTTTCGATACTGCTTTTTTTACACAATGCAATTTACGCTTTGAAATAAAGAGTGTTAGAGACGCTAGCTAATTACTGATAATCTCAAAAATTTGGATAAAAAGAGGTATTAAAGGCCAGAAGAGCGACATAATTGAACCGGGAATAAATGACCCTTTTACCCTTGGCAACAGCATTTGGATGTAGAAAGAGGTCTGCTTCGACGTCGGGTAAAAGTTTTTATTATATCTGTAATATATATCAGGAAGCAGGTGGTGGATGGAGTGTAAGAGCAGCCGACAGGTATTGTTGGTTATGGTCTGCACTCTGCGGCGATAGGCAGATGATCTCATCAGTAGAGACAACGGCTATGGCCACCGACTAGTATAGTCACTGCTCAGGAGGAAAGCAACGGCAAACTACCTTCTGCAAATTTTGCCAAGAATCCATAACAATCATGAAAGAAAACATAACACAGAAGAGATCTGGTGGCGAGACCCCCAGGCCAGGCAGATCAGATAACACTGGGGAAGAGTGTGATACAGGAGCCAGTACTAGTAATCGTGATGACGGAGTTAATCCTGACTGTGTTACCAAGGAAATCCACTGTGTCAGACTA